AAATTTGCAACAATAGGAAAATGGCTTCTGAATCGTCTTTATTCTAAGACTTTAAAATAATTTAACATTACTGAAAACATTTGTTGAAACAATCATACTAATCTACAACACTAACTTCCAACACGTTATATTCCCCTTTATATCACCATTGACACCTGCCATTTAAAACGTGAACATCCCAAATATGCAACAAAAATTTACTAAATCTTTACCAAAATTATTCCCTTTATTACTATCTTTATTTTGACGTGGAATTTCAAAAAAGCTTACCTTCATAATCGACATTACCAAAAAACATAATGAAGATCATCGTTAGGAATGAAATCTAAAAAAATTTCGGGTCCTAGCATTGAAAATCTCCGCCCAAAAATAGGTCAACCTCAGGATAATGCAAACTTAATTTTCTCATATTTATCATACATTTGTTAAAACGCCATTTTTTTCTCAAGCATTCTATCAATAGTAGCAACTGAGTTTTCAGAGTGATATGTATGTAAAAGTCATATAATGATATCAGTTTACAATGATAAAGTCTCTGAAAAGTTAATCAATAAGACAACACAATTCTCAAATTCTGAAAAGATATGATGAACTATTCCTTTTTTATAGATTATATTGATGCTTATTGAAAACACTTACACCACCACTGTTACGTTGGCATTTTTGGTAACATGTTTCTTACATAATCCAAAATGAGTATGTGAGCTTAAAAATTTTTCATATTCCCCCTTAAATTTACTCCAAGTTTCACATAAGCAAAAAATGTCAAATGAACTGAGAAAACGCTTTAAATCAATATTGTCACAGTGTTTATTTAATCCGCCGATATTCCACGATAGTATTTTTATGTTTACAGTTCTAGGTGAGTGATTATTTTGTATGCCTTGGCCGCCCTGCTATTCTATCGTCGAATCAGAAAGATACTCATCCTGTGACGATTTGTCGTGTAGATGTTATTGGCTGTCTCAAGTCAAAGCTGATACGTCACGTGGTTGTGTTTCACTTCTTCCCGCTTGATTTGCTAACCAATCGGCTTACGTTCCCGGTAGTTTACTTGTTCATGTTGGTGATTGAACACGTGTTTGTGTACCACGGTTGTCTGTTGCCAACAAAACAAATACATTCATTGTGATCATCGTATCTATAAATGGAGTCGTTAACAAAAAGTTTGTCGTATCGAAGTACTGCATTAGTGACCTTTTGTCTATCCATGATACCATTTTTTTCACCAAGGATTCTTTCTGTGACGTTTAATACGGTCCACTATATAAATACTTGTGTACTAGGACTGAACGATCACGTGTACTCTTATACACACTATTGGCTCTGTCCATAATTATTTGTGTATCTTTATAACGTGTAAAGCGTAAACAGCAAAGTAAAGTCATGTAGCCAAAGGTGTAAATACATTTTGCCCAAATACATTTAGTTACCATAATATATGATGTTATATACAATGTATATTCTTTCGGATAATTATTTATGGTGTAAGTTGTCGATTAGACTGTAATTGATTAAATGGTTAGTATCTTGACAAATATTGTATTTTTATAGGGACTCAACGGAGGCTTTTTTGACATGATGACGAGACTCGAAATATTTTTTTTTCGTGATTTATGTTCCATTTGACGTAGGTCTAGACCAATAACTTGTGCAGAATTTCAGATCATTTTTTTCCAGAATGATTATTCTAATTGCGAAAAACGATCTAAAACTGAAAGACATTGCAACGCTTTTCACTCAAACCGGGCTAAATAATCACAAAAAATACGATCTTAAATTTTTTCTGAGTATATTTATTCAATATCTTTTGCTTATTTGTTTTTGTTTCATGCGTCCAAGTTGATCTATGTAAGAAATTCAAATTTAATGTTACTTCAGTAGAGTCCATTTAAGCTTCAATATTTATGTAATATGCCAAATGCATTTCTTTCTATTGTTAAGGCTAGATATTATTTAATATCTGTAAAATCTTCGGGTTAATTAACCCTCACACGGCTGGAACCGAAACATATAATAAAACATTTACCACCAGCGCATGTTTGCCCGTTCGAAAGAAATACAAATGCATTTATTTGTGATACATATCGTGCATTTGAGCACACTTAAACCTTTTCAAACCAGGACATGTCTGCCCGTTCATAAAAAATACAAATGTATTTGTTTTTGAGGCTTATCGTACATTTGAGCTCACTTAAACCTTTGCCACCCGGGCATGTTTGCCCGTTCAAAATAAATACAAATACATTTGTTTGTGAGCCAAAACGTGCATCTGAGCTCACTTAAACCTTTGCCACCAGGGCATGTTTGCCCGTTCGAAAGAAATACAAATGTATTTGTTTGTGATGCATATCGTGCATCTGAGCTCACTTAAACCTTTGTCACCAGGGCATGTTTACCCGTTAGAAAGAAATACAAATGTATTTGTTTGTGATGCATATCGTGCATTTGAGCACACTTAAACCTTTGCCACCAGGGCATGTTTGCCCGTTCAAAAGAAATACAAATGTATTTGTTTTTGTGGCTTGTTGTGCATTTGAGCTCACTTAAACCTTTGCCACCAGGGTGTGTTTGCCCGTTCGAAAGAAATACAAATGCATTTGTTTGTGAGACAAATCGTGCATTTGAGCACTCTTAAACCTTTGCCACCAGGGCGTGTTTGCCCGTTCGAAAGAAATACAATTGCATTTGTTATTGAGGCATATCGTGCATTTGATCACACTTAAACCTTTGTCACCAGGACATGTTTGCCCGTTCGAAAGAATTACAAATGCATTTGTTTGTGAGGCATATCGTGCATTTGAGCACTCTTAAATCTTTGCCACCAGGGCGTGTTTGCCCGTTCGAAAGAAATACAATTCCATTTGTTTGTGAGGCATATCGTGCATTTGAGCTCACTTAAACCTTTGCCACCAGGGCATGTTTGCCCGTTCGAAAGAAAAAACAAATGCATTTGTTTGTGAGGCATATCGTGCATTTGAGCACACTTAAACCTTTGCCACCAGGGCGTGTTTGCCCGTTCGAAAGAAATACAATTCCATTTGTTTGTGAGGCATATCGTGCATTTGAGCACTCTTAAACCTTTGCCACCAGGGCGTGTTTGCCCGTCCGAAAGAAATACAAATGCATTTGTTTGTGAGGCATATCGTGCATTTGAGCACTCTTAAACCTTTGCCACCAGGACATGTTTGCCCGTTCGAAAGAAATACAAATGCATTTGTTTGTGAGGCATATCGTGCATTTGAGCACTCTTAAACCTTTGCCACCAGGACATGTTTGCCCGTTCGAAAGAAATACAAATGCATTTGTTTGTGAGACATATCGTACATTTGAGCACACTTAAACATTTGACACATGGGCATGTTTGCCCGTCCGAAAGAAATACAAATGCATTTGTTTGTGAGACATATCGTGCATTTGAGAGCACACTTAAACCTTCTTCACCACGGCATGTTTGTCCGTTCGAAAGAAAAAACAAATGCATTTGTTTGTGAGGCATATCGTGCATTTGAGCACACTTAAACCTTTGTCACCAGGGCATGTTTGCCAGTTCGAAAGAAATACAAATGCATTTGTTTGTGAGACATATCGTGCATTTGAGCACACTTAAACCTTCTTCACCACGGCATGTTTGTCCGTTCGAAAGAAAAACAAATGCATTTGTTTGTGAGGCATATCGTGCATTTGAGCACACTTAAACCTTTGCCACCAGGGCATGTTTGCCAGTTCGAAAGAAATACAAATGCATTTGTTTGTGAGACATATCGTGCATTTGAGCTCACTTAAAACCTTTGCCACCAGGGCATGTTTGCCCGTTCGAAAGAAAAAAACAAAATGCATTTGTTTGTGAGGCATATCGTGCATTTGAGCACACTTAAACCTTTGCCACCAGGAAAGAAAAAACAAATGCATGTTTTGCCCGTCACTTAAAACCGAAAGAAAGAAATACAAAAATTAATGTATTTGTTTGTGAGGCATATCGTGCATTTGAGCTCACTTAAACCTTTGCCACCAGGACATGTTTGCCCGTTCGAAAGAAATACAAATGTATTTGTTTGTGAGACATATCGTGCATTTGAGCGCACTTAAACATTTGCCACCAGGGCATGTTTGCCCGTTCGAAAGAAATACAATTGCATTTGTTTGTGAGACTAAACCTTTGCCACCAGGGCGTGTTTGCCCGTTCGAAAGAAATACAAATGCATTTGTTTGTGAGGCATATCGTGCATTTGAGCACTCTTAAACCTTTGCCACCAGGGCATGTTTGCCCGTTCGAAAGAAATACAATTGCATTTGTTTGTGAGACATATCGTGCATTTGAGCTCACTTAAACCTTTGCCACCAGGGCATGTTTGCCCGTTCGAAAGAAATACAATTGCATTTGTTATTGAGACATATCGTGCATTTGAGCTCACTTAAACCTTTGCCACCAGGGCATGTTTGCCCGTTCGAAAGAAATACAATTGCATTTGTTTGTGAGGCATATCGTGCATTTGAGCACTCTTAAACCTTTGTCACCAGAGCAGTTATAAATGAGCAGCTTCTATGTACTGTTATATAACGTGGCATGCCAATTTAAAATTCATCTTCATATTCCGAATGATGATAATAGACTGTTCCAAAATCAAACATTACCCTTTAAGAAATTCAACTATTTTTTAAAGAGTTAAAAATAAAACAGGGAACACACAATGTTATGTTTTATATTTACCATTTCATGTTAAAATGTTGCATTCTGCTAAAGTCGGTGCACATTCCACTACTGTTCTTGAATAGGCTCATTTAAAGCAAGCCAGCAACATTTTTAATGTTCCATTGTTTGCGTGAATAGGACTGCACTATCAAAATGCAAACATCTTTTTTATACGTTATTAAATTCTGATATATAAAATTGCAACATCATTTCACTTTTTCTAAAATAATGTTTTGTAAACCATTTAACCATTAAAAACCCAGTACCTCTGTATTGTATATTCAGCAGCTGTTAAACTTTGTTTCAGGTGTTGAAGTCAACATGTTCCGTGGATATCACATACTTTCCATTTGATGCCCAGAAATGTAGTATGGTATTTGTAGTTTGGAGTTACACACACATTGAAATTGAGTTACTAACACAAAAAGGATTCGGACTGGCTGAATATTCAGGAAGCTCAACATGGAAGATTGTTTCTGCAGTGTCAGAGTTCAATAATAACTTGTACATACCGAAAGCTACATTCACTCTGAATTTGCAGAGGAAACCCCTATTTTACATGTTGAACATGGTAATTCCTATCATCTTTCTTTCGATAATGAATATATTTACGTTCACGCTGCCTGCAAAGTCGGGAGAAAGGGCATCGTACGCCGTTACCCTTTTCTTATCAATTTCTGTTTTCTTAACCATCATCGCCGCGGAATTTCCCAAGAACTCAGACAACCTCTCATATTTAGCTCTGTACCTCACAATCATGACAACCATTTCCACAATATTTGTAATTATCACTGTATTGCAGCTGCGACTTCTAAACCGGGAAGAAACAAATTGCCCAGTAGGCGGATGTTACAGATGCCTTTATAAACTAGTCAAATGCTTTCGTTGTAAAACATGTAAACCACGCCCCAGTAAGGTTTCCAATTTACAAAGCCATGATAATGGAATCGATGAAAGTTCAGGCGAGGGAAATGAAACGGTTACCTGGCCAGATGTTATTGATGCCATTGACTTTCTATGCTTCTGGGTAGGAAGCGTCGTTACATTTACCGTGACAATTACAATATTACTGGCACTTCTGAACAATCCTGATAGACATTAAGTACCTTGCACCACGTCCAATGTTTTAATTAAGAAATAATGTATCCTAAATAGTGATTTTATAACTAAACAAAATCACTGTTTGGAGTTTGGATGCAAGGAGTTATATCATCAGTCATGCCACTTTCTAGTCCAAATCAGCCTCGCCTGATTAAATTGACAGCATGTTATTCTATATATGGAACAGTTATTTCATTACATTGTTACACACATTTGAAATTGGTCATTCTATGTTCAAAATGTACCATAGAATATATGAATAAATAAAACAGATACGTTGTTTATGCAGTCTGATCAGGATCCATGCTGTTCGCTTACAGACTCTATAACAAGTAAACAAACTGATAGCGAACAGCATGGATCCTGATCAGACTGCTCGGATGCGCAGGCTGCCTGGATCCATGCTGGTCGCAAACCCATTATGTTGGTTTTGTCGTGACATGGCTCATATCAAGAATTTGATCATTTTAAATCTTTCGTTTTACTTTAACATAGAAAAGAATATACTCATAAATTTCCAGCATGTTATTTGGAAGCCTTTAGGAAATGTTGATCTTTACAATTATGAGGAAATAGTGGAGAACTTACTTTTATTTCTAACAATCCTTGAATGCCATGTTTTTGGTTAAAATTATAACATTTTTTTCATATTGTTGTATATGTTTGATGCTTGTAAAACACATTTGCCCAAACTAACAAAACTGACATTTAACGATTGTTAGTTTTTATCATCCAAATATCCTAAATATATCATTTAAACAAATATAAAGTGCATTGGTTAAGACACAATATTTTAACACTGTATTGCAAAATTCTTGTTAATGTCAAGGGTCCTCATCTAAAGATCTTCTTGGCTCAACGGTAACATAATTAGTACGTGAGGATTTTGGAAATTCTAAGATATTTTTGAAGTAAGCGATATAAAATTTATATATTTCTAATTGTTCTAATTGTAAAAAAAAAGAAATCGCTTACAATTATTTATATATCTTAGTACTAACTTATTATTAACTTCAATAGAAAAGCAAAGTTGACCTGTGACAGGAAGACAAGCCAGTAATTTGTTATATGTTTTCAAAAAAGTTAATACATCCAATTATTTACAAGAATCATTATACAAATAATCATTTCAACCACGATATTTGTTTGATCTTCTGATGCATTTTGCATACTAAATCATTATAATTACTATACCATTTAAAACTACATAAAACGATTTTTCCACCAACTATCTATAATGATTATTTATTCTTGATCTTGACAGTGCCATGGACAAAATGTTGTTTTTAAATAGTACATACTAATTTCAATTGAAATATATAAAGAAATATTTGTTTAAATTCTCACATTGTCCTCACTACATGTACATGTATGTATAGTTATTTTGTTTATAAATAAACCACAATACGGCACTTGAAAGTGTTTATTATTGATTTCCCTATAGCAGTATAAAACCTTCTGTAAAGAAAATTTACAAGATGTGGTCTCAATATGCTACATATAGACTCCCCAGAGAGAAATAAACGGAGAAGAAATCACAGGTTAGGCGATAACTAAAAAATAAAAGTATGAAAATCGGATAAAGAGAGGATTCCTCGAGAACAATCAGAAACAATGTACATTGAATGAACATTGCAGACTCAGTTTTCCTTCAGGATCATTAATGCCAGTACTTTGGTGCGTTGAAAATAGAGTACCACTCTTGAGCACCGCTCAAGCCGATGCTAGTGGGGGTGAGAGATGTTGCACTTTTTCATTACCCCTCAAACCGAGTCTGCAAGTTTCATGTAATTTTACTGTGATGAATGTTTCCGGGATCACTGTGAATAAGAGTTAATGAATAATTTCCAACTAACCCTTTATCAGCTATAAAGAGCAATAATCATTGCGCAACACAAAAAGTACCGGAATAAATGGTGGCAAAGAACCAAATATATAACAACATTGTATAATGTACAGGGCAATTGTTTACAAATGCTGTTGTAAGTAAAAGTCTAGTTAACACATTATATGCCACTAATAACAAAATCATTTAAAATAAAAAATATTTGGAAAAAAGTGATCCATTTGAAGCATTAAAAACAGCAAAATTACATGAAAATTGCAGACTCGGTTTGATTGTGTACATGAATGATAACGAAAAAGTACAACACCGGTTGGAGCTGTACTTAAATGTGCTGAAGTCAATGATCCAAAATGACCAGAAAAAATATAACTACACTGAGGTGAAGTACGAAAAGACTCACACGACCAGATTATACATCCATGCAGGAGACGAATGTGGAAACGATTAACAGCAGCAAAATAAAAAACCTGACTGTAATAGACCTCTAGATCAACAAATTAACAAAACACTTGATTCTGAATTTTTGTGAGGTATTTTAACAGAAGAAGATAAATTCACAACCAGAATAACCATGAACACAGCCAGCTTACAATAGTTTGTTCAAAACTTGTCGTAAAAATCATAAAAAGTATAATGAGCATTAAATCCAGAACAAATGGAAGTCGACAATGAACAACACAAATAAATATTACTGGAAAAAAATCTCATGAAGATATGATGAAGTGAATTTTTGTTTTTAAAATGAATATATGTTGGTATTATTCTGCAATCGCCTTTGTTTTTTGCTTCGTATCTTTTGACGTGTTGAAGAAAGTTTTGTAAGTAACGTGGACGTATTAAATCATTACAATGAATTAAAGTGACATTATGCCCAACCAAAGGCATAAAGTGAGTGAACAAAAGAAGATCAAAATAAATTTACATTTTGCCATTAATCCTTTCAATTTTATAATTTATTTCACATGAACAACAAAAACTTACCCGGACCAAGAAAAATTCTATTAAAATCTATTGGAATTTACCTTAAACGTCAATTTTATAAGAAGAGTTGGACAAACTTTTTTTTCTATATTTTAGACAGATTTCTATGTTATTGTATACGTTTTACAATATCAACTGTTGGTCAATCACCATTATTACAGCCAATACTTTAGAATATATAGTCAAATTAAGCTCAACTAGCAAAATGTCACTTTATTGATGAATGAAGTAAACAAAAATTGTTTTGTATAATTCTATAATCCTTCTTTGGCATATCTACAATTCAGTATTATCACACGCATGTAACCACTGTAGTTTTCCTCTATGGTTACAATATCTGTCTAATGTTTTAATAACAAATTTATAATACATTTGTCCCGCAAAACTGATCTGTTTTATAAAAAAATACTTTTTTAAAAAAAAATTCGGCTGCCATATTTGCTCTTGTATTCGGGTGCCCGCTCTTACCTGAAAACTGAGAAACTGAAAAACTGCAGCGAGTAATGCCCGCCACCAGTAAAATATAAATTCGCAATATGACCATTACAATGTCGCTATTACTTAAAAAAGTCCTGCAATATAATTATATAGATTATATTTAATGTACAATTATCCATCCACATATGGGGTAACAAACTTTCATTTTTATATAAAGATTTTTTCTTTATTTAATTATGATAATTTTTAATCATATAATAATTATTTTTTTCACTCCTGGTTGTACACATACGTAAGGAATTTGTAATATAAAACATATCTAAAGTATATTAATGCATTTGTAAATTAATTACTTACAAAAAATATTTATAGGTATAAGGACAATAATTTGATTAACTAAATGTAGCATGAGAAAATATAGGAAACAGTTACGACTATAAAGGTACAAATCAATTAAAATGTCTGTAAATTGTCTACAGTTGTCCTAGTTGCCACATTACCAATAAAGTTGTTTAAATAATTCATCACAATTTCACTTCATTCAGCAGACCGAGTATAACAACAATTAGAGGATATTGTTTAATCGGGCTCGAAGTTCTCAAACGCATTTTTAATTAGACTTTTCCTTTTACAAACATTAACGTATTGGCCGTTACCCATTTAATTGACGTGTAAACTTAGTTACTAATCCCAAAAGGCAATTAAATATACATCTTTTTTCAAAGTGCCAGTCTCTCATAAACATCACTGCCGTGAGTACTTCTGAACTTTAATTTCTTTCTTGAACCTTCTACCTAAATTGAAGACACAATGACTCAGGCTAGGTGTAAAAGGTGGGTAATTAACACTTATTTCCCTCATCAAGAAAATCGTTTTTTTTCCATATAAGATGAAACTATCTTTTGATTACTTCTTCTAATTGAACATCATTTGCTTGTGAGGCTCATTTGTGAACATTTACCAGACGTATAATAAGCATTAGGGTACGATAATAAAACTTAAATAGTCACGTTAGTGTAGTTTATATAGTTTAATAAGAGTTAACCCGTAACTGCAATAACGTGACGAAAGGTATAATTTCAAGCTGATGATTGTATGATTGTAATGTATATCATTGGATATCTTATTCTCCTTTCGACCCCCCCCCCCCAGGAATAGTTCTACAAAACTAACCATTTGAATCAATTCAATTCTGTCATGTATTATGAAAGAATTATGAAGCATTCTATCAAATTATCATAATTAATGAAACGAAAAGTCTTCATTTTTAACTAATTACTTTGACTGCAAACGTCAATTAAGTGTAATAGTCTTAGCTGAATGCATAATATTCTTTAATATGTCACCCGAAGCTGGTTGCACTAGTAAAAGGTATCAAAGTATCCGAACCAAGTTCTTTTTGTCTTTAGTCATGTGAATATGGAACATATTTGGCTAATATATCTCACTATACTGATATTAAATTCAATGGACTCGGAAGAATATTCACATGATGATGTTCAAGACTTGCATACACAACTTTTTGTAACCAATTCATACAACAAGAAGATCCGGCCGTTGGTTGACCAAGACACAGTTCTTAATATATCTATAGACTTTCACCTGAGTGGTGAGTTATCATTTCAATTATCAATTTTTATTATGAATGATAATAATATATTGTACTGTTTGTAAAGATATTTAATAAAACCATGTGATATGTTAACAGATTCATCACTGTTTAATATATACTCATGTGTACCTTATGAAACTTAAGTTAATAAAGACCTGTTCTGTTTAAGAATAAGTCATTATACATTATACATTATCAAGTACAATACAGCTCTTTTTGGACGATTACACAACTGTCAAGCCTAATATAGACGAGGTGCTAGATGAGTCCAATATAGGTTTTGCAGCTGGGAATTATGTACGAGTTCACCATAATCAGTTTTATTCTCAACAGAGCTTGTATACTGAGCACTTTTTCCTCACACCACCATTTTATAACCTAACTTTGTTTCTGCGAGTACAATATGAATGGAATATGGAGTTTTGGAATCGAAAAAAAACCCGTCTACATGAAGTACATTTGAAATGGATTATGTTGACTCAGAAAATGAAAATGAGGCTAAATTGATAAGAATGGATTTAATAATGATTTATATGATGTGATTACATGTTGCAAACAATCGAAATTTATTGGTTATATTAAAGACTATATTAAACCAAACTATTTTTGAGACTTAAAGGTTGTTAATTTTTGCAAGAATGTTTCTTCGGAGCAAAAAATAAATAAATAAATAAATAAAAATAAATAAATAAATAAATAAAAAAAATAATAATAGAATAATAGAAATAATAAAAATAATATTTTTCCATTACTGCAAAATTTGTTATTTCGTATTTGCATACAATTGCATGCCAAGTTAATAATTAACTAATGTTAAGGAAACATAAACAATAGTATAATAAAATTAAACAAAAACTGCAGCGGCTGAACTCTGCTCTGGTAAGTTCAATGTGGCTTACTTCACTTCAGTGTTGTTATATTTTTCTGGTCCTTCGGGATCATTGTGTCTAGCACTTATTGAGTACTGCTTAAGCCGGTGCTAGGGGGCGTGAGGGATGTTGCACTCTTTCACTATCCCTCATGTACAGATTAAATCAAACCGAGTCTGCAATTTTCTTCATGTTATTTTGCTGTTTCAATGCTTCCAAGGGATTAATTTTTTACCAGATATTTTTACTGCCGTGATCCAACACCGCGCCACTAAACAAAATATTTTTTGCAGCAATAACACAATTTGACGAACAAGATGAGAGTCTTTCTACAGCCGGGTATTTGCATATAAAATGGACTGACGAGTTTCTCACTTGGAATCCCGATGACAACAATGGCATTAATTGGATAATAATCGTAAGGATTTAGGTCTATAAATTATCTAAAATGTGGTTTATCTAAAGTGTGGATTATCTACTCGTAGTTTCCCTGATTATAATCTTCCGGCCCTACCCTGCCATGTATTATGATACATGCATTACTACATGGATTTACGAGCGTATTTGCGTATTTCAAACATAGCGCAAACATAGCGCATATCCTCAGCGTTAAAATGATGTGATAAGCAGAATATATAATTATTATTATTCTAGATTCGTAGAGGCTCGTATAATATGATTTTATTCAAGTCGTACAATAAATTCAGTATTAAACCTTCACTGACTTATTAAATATCCTTTAGAAAAATATGTACAAGTTTGCATGAACAAATGATTAGTATTGGCAGTCTTTATAGGCCCATGATGACACAGGAAAGCTTTTCTTTTCTCAAAAGCTTTTAATTTTGTTGTACTTTTATAGTATCCAAAAAGTTACTCTTTGGCCAATTACCTGAACCATCTGTTTCGCCTAGTGCTTTATGGCAATGAGTACAATTATAGTGAACTTGTATTATGTATGGAAGTCAAAATATTACTTTGTTTACACATTGCTACTTTTGTGGCCTATTATTTTACATTTTTTGCTGCTTTGGTAAGGTAACAAACATTCAACATTGTCTAAAACCATGTTTTAGAAAATATTATAAAATTCATTTTTGCCCTTTCGAAAGTAATACAAATATATTTGTTTCTAAGGCATATTGTGTCTTAGAGCACATTTATGTTTATTTCAAATTTGATAATGAATGAGAATAGGTAAGAATAATTTCAGAGCATCAATATTTTTAATTCCGGTATTGTTGAACCAGCATATTGTTGTTGTTGTTTTTTAATTTCAAAGCCACAGGACGACATCTGGAAACCGGATGTTTCATTGCATAATTCCTACAGCCCATTCAAGGGCCTTGGTTCCTCTCATTTAAACGCCTGGATACTTAGCACAGGTTTCGTACAGTGGGAACCATTCCAGGTAAAAATTTTCGAAATTATGTGCATGTTATAACTTTCCGGTTCAAAGTGTTGGTTAAATAACTTTATTTTGTTATCTGGCATAAATATTATGTCCTTAAACAGCAAAGTAAAGTCATGTAGCCAAAGGTGTAAATTTACATTTTGCCCAGATACATTTAGTTACCATTATTTATGATGTCATATACAATGTATATTCTTTCGGATAATAATTAATGGTGTAAGTTGTCGATTGAAATTGTAATTAATTAAATGGTTAGTATCTTGACAAATATTGTAATATTTTTATAGGGATTCCACAAAGTTTTTTTGACATGACGAGACTCGAAATATTTCTTTTCGTGATTTATGTTTCATTTGACGTAGGTCTAGACCAATAACTTGTGCAAAATTTCAGATCCTTTTTTTTCACTCCGCTTTTTTTCCAGAATGATTATTCTAATTGCGAAAAATGATCTAAAACTGAAAGACGTTGCAACGCTTTTCACTCAAACCGGGCTAAATAATCACAAAAAATACGATCTTAAATTTTTTCTGAGTATATTTATTCAATATCTTTTGCTTATTTGTTTTTGTTTCATGCGTCCAAGTTGATCTATGTAAGAAATCCAAATTTTATGTTACTTCAGTAGAGTCCATTTAAGCTTCAATATTTATGTTATACGCCAAATGCATTTCTTTCTATTGTTAAAGATCCTGTATGTTTTGTGATTGATATTGTGAATGTGTGTATACCACACATGCAAAAAAATATATATGTATATAATTATGCAAATAAAACAATTTTCAAACATCGAAGAATATGTAAAATGTGTACTGCAAATATTTGTGCACATTATATTTAATCAATAAATTATATGCATTCATTTCTTATTGGAAAATTTGAGTTAGAATTTATAGAAAATAAATTTCTAATTACCTCCCTTTATTTCCATGATATGTAATATGTTATAAATAATGCTTATTGGAACTTACAATATTGACAAATCTTAATTAGAGCATCATATTTATGAAATAAAACCGTGAAAAAAAATGTGTTACAGGATCTTTAAGGCTAGATATTATTTAATATCTGTAAAATCTTCGGGTTAATTAACCCTAACACGGCTGGAACCGAAACATATAATAAGACATTTACCACCAGGGCATGTTTGCCCGTTCGAACGAAATACAAATGCATTTGTTTGTGAGGCATATCGTGCATTTGAGCTCAATAAAACCTTTGCCACCCGGGCATGTTTGCCCGTTCGAAAGAAATACAAATACATTTGTTTGTGATGCATATCGTGCATTTGAGCACAATTAATCATTTGCCACCAGGGCATTTTGCCCGTTCGAAAGAAATACAAATGCATTTGTTTGTGATGCATATCGTGCATTTGAGCACAATTAAACATTTGCCACCCGGGCATTTTGCCCGTTCGAAAGAAATACAAATGCACTTGTTTGTGAGGCATATCGTGCATTTGAGCACAATTAAACCTTTTCAAACCAGGACATGTTTGCCCGTTCGAAAGAAATACAAATACATTTGTTTGTGATGCATATCGTGCATTTGAGCACAATTAAACATTTGCCACCCGGGCATTTTGCCCGTTCGAAAGAAATACAAATGCATTTGTTTGTGAGGCATATCGTGCATTTGAGCACAATTAAACCTTTGCCACCCGGGCATGTTTTCCCGTTCGAATGAAATACAAATGCATTTGTTTGTGATGCATATCGTGCATTTGAGCACAATTAAACATTTGCCACCCGGGCATTTTGCCCGTTCGAAAGAAATACAAATGCATTTGTTTGTGAGGCATATTGTATATTTGATCACACTTAAACTTTTGCACACCAGGGCATGTTTGCCCGTTCGAAAGAAATACAAATGCATTTGTTTGTGATGCATATCGTGCATTTGAGCACACTTAAACCTTTTCAAACCAGGACATGTTTGCCCGTTCAAAAGAAATACAAATGTATTTGTTTTTGAGGCTTATCGTACATTTGAGCTCACTTAAACCTTTGCCACCCGGGCATGTTTTCCCGTTCGAAATAAATACAAATACATTTGTTTGTGATGCATATCGTGCATTTGAGCACACTTAAACCTTTTCAAACCAGGACATGTTTGCCCGTTCAATGGAAATACAAATGCAATTGTTTTTGAGGCTTATCGTACATTTGAGCTCACTTAAACCTTTGCCACCAGGGCATGTTTGCCCGTTCGAAATAAATACAAATACATTTGTTTGTGATGCATATCGTGCATTAGAGCCAACTAAACCTTCGCCACCAGAGTAGTTTGTAATTAGCAGCTTCTATGTACTGTTATATAACGTTGGCAGGCCAATTTAAAATTCATTTTCATATTCCGAATGATGATAATAAACAGTTCCAAAATCAAACATTACCCTTTAAGAAATTCAACTCTTTTTAAAAGATTTAAAAATAAAACAGGGAACACACAATGTTCTGTTTTATATTTACCATTTCATTTTAAAATGTTGCATTCTGCTAAAGTCGGTGCACTTTCCACTACTGTTCTTGAATAGGCTCATTCAAAGCAAGCCAGCAACATTTTTATTTTTTAATGTTCCATTGTTTGCGTGAATAGGACTAAACTATCAAGATGCAAACATCTTTTTTATACGTTATTAAATGTTTAATATATAAAATAACAACATCATTTCACTTTTTCTAAAATAATGTTTTGTAAACCATTTAACCATTAAACACCCAGTACCTCTGTATTGTTTATTCAGCAGCTGTTAAACTTTGTTTCAGGTGTTGAAGTCAACATGTTCCGTGGATATTACATACTTTCCATTTGATGCCCAGAAATGTAGTATGGTTTTTGTAGTTTGGAGTTACACACACGTTGAAATTGAGTTACTAACACAAAATGGATTCGTACTGGCTGAATATTCGGGAAGCTCTACATGGGAGATCGTTTCTGCAGTGTCAGAGTTCAATAATAACTTGTACATACCGAAAGCTACATTTAATTTGAATTTGCAGAGGAAACCCCTATTTTACATGTTGAACATGGTCATTCCTATCATTTTTCTGTCGATAATGAATATATTTACATTCACGCTGCCTGCAAAGTCGGGAGAAAGAGCATCGTACGCCGTTACCCTTTTCTTATCAATTTCTGTTTTCTTAACCATCATCGCCGCTGAATTTCCCAAGAACTCGGACAACCTCTCATATTTAGCTCTGTACCTCACAATCATGACAAGCATTTCCACAATATTTGTAATTATCACTGTACTGCAGCTGCGACTTCTAAACCGGGAAGAAACAAATTGCCCAGTAGGCGGATGTTACAGATGCATATATAAATTAGTCAAATGCTTACGTTGTAAAACATGTAAACCACGCCCCAGTAAGGTTTACAATTTACAAAGCCATGATAATGGAATCGATGAAAGTTCAGGGGAGGGAAATGAAAAGATAACCTGGCCTGATGTTATTGATGCCATTGACTTTCTATGCTTCTGGATAGGAAGCGTTGTGACATTTACCGTGACAATGACAATATTACTGGCTCTTCTGAACAATCCCGATAGAGATTAAAGTACCCCGTACCACGACCAATGTTTTAATTAAGAAATAATATATCCCAAATACAATGTAGTGATTTTATAGTTAAATAAAATCACTGTTTGAGATATCTTATTACAAGCCTTGCCACTTTATAGCCCAAATCAGCCTCGCCTGATTAAATTGATAGCATGTTATTCTATATATAGAACAGTTATTTCATTACATTGTTACACACATTTGAAATTGGACATTCTATGTTCAAAATGTACCATAGAATATATGAATACATAAAACAGATACGTTGTTTATCATTATGTATTCATTTTATTGTTGTAATTATTATATTAATTATTTAAACATTATCTTGCTTATTTCGTGATTTTTGTATGTTAGCAAGCATTCCACAGTATTTGTTCCTTTTTATAAGATTTTGATTATTTATTAATCTAATGTCATCTTGGAAAATTTAAATTCTCATATATATCATTACCTTCATAATTGGGCATGGGTGTTGATATTATCATGAATTTGATCATTTAAAATCTTTCGTTTTTCTTTAACAAAGAAAAGAATATACTCATAAATTGCCAGAATGTTATTTGGAAGCCCTTAGGAAATGTTGATCTTTACAATTATGAGGAAATAGTGAAGAACTTACTTTTATTTCTAACAATCTTTGAATGCCATGTTTTTGGTAAAAATTATAACATTTTTTTTCTTACTTATTGCTGTATTCGTTTGATGCTTGTAAAACAAATTTGCCCAAGCTAACAAAAACTGACAAAATTCTTGTTAATGTCAAGGGTCCTCCTCTAAAGGTCTTGTTGGCTCAACGTTAACATAATTAGTAAGTAAGGATTTTGGAAATTCTAAAATATTTATGAAGTATGTGATATAAAATTTATATATTTCTAATTGTTCTCATTGTAAAAAAAAAAAGAAATCGCTTACAATTATTTATATATCTTACAATTATTTATATATCTTAATACTACTTTATTATTAACTTCAATAGAAGAGCAAAGTTGACCTGTGCCAGAAAGACAAGCTAGTTATTTGTTGTATGTTTTTAAAAAGGTTAATACATCCAATGTTCAGCACGTTTAAGTACACGTGCTTGATGCATTAAAAACAGCAAAATTACACGAAAATTGCAGACTCGGTTTGATTGTGTACATTCGATCAAACCGAGTCTGCAAGTTTCATGTAATTTTGCTGTGATGAATGTTTCCGGGATCACTGTGCATAAGAGTTAATGAATAATTTCTAACTAACCCTTTATCAGTTATAAAGAGCAATACTCATTGCGCAACACAAAAAGTACCGGAATAAATGGGGGTAAAAACCAAATATATAACAACAGTAAGTAAAAGTCTAGATAACACATTATATGCCACTAATAACAAAATCATTTAAAATAAAAAATATTTGGAAAAAAGTGATCCATTTGATAGCATTTTTAAAAACCCGGGAAAATTTCACGAAAATTGCAGACTTTGGTTTTATGGTACATATAAAATAACGAAAAAAACCAACACATTTGGGGCTGCACTTAAAAAGTGCTGAAGTTAATGATCCAAACTTTACCAGAAAAAATATAAACTACACTTTAGGTTAAGTACCCAAAAAAACCACTTAAAGACCAGATTATACAAACATGCAGGGAAGAAAAGTTTGGAAAAGATTTATAGCGCCCAAAAAAAAAAACCGACTGTAATAGGGCCTCTAGGTCAAAAAACAACAAAAACACCCTTTATTTTGAATTGTTTTTGAAGGTATTTTAACAGAAAAAAGATTTAAAATTTACAAACCCGAACAACCAAAGAACACAGCCAGGGGGTTTCAATAAAGGGTTTTTTTCAAAAATTGTCGTAAAAAATCATAAACAGTATAATGAACATTTAATCCACAACAAATGGAAGTCGACAATGAACAACACAAATAAATATTACTGGAAAAAAAATCTCATGAAGATATGATGAAGTGAATTTTTGTTTTTTAAAATGAATATATGTTGGTATTATTCTGCAATCGCCTTTGTTTTTTGCTTCGTATCTTTTGACGTGTTGAAGAAAGTTTTGTAAGTAACGTGGACGTATTAAATCATTACAATAAATTAAAGTGACATTATGCCCATCCAAAGGAATAAAGTGAGTGAACAAAAGAACATCAAGATAAATTTACATTTTGCCATTAATCCTTTCAATTTTATAATTTATTTCACATGAACAACAAAAAACTTACCCGGACCAAGAAAAATTCTATCAATATTTATTGGAATTTACCTTTCACGCCAAATTTATAAAAAGAGTGAGACAAACTTTTTTTTATATTTCAGACAGATTTCTATTTTATTGTATACGTTTTACAATATCAACTGTTGGTCAATCACCATTATAACAGCCAATCCTTAGGAATATGAGGGCTGTAAATAAGGAAAAAGCAACACTTTTCCGCGTATTTATTGAACAGCCCTCGTATATGGTCAAATTTAGCTCAACTAGCATAATGTCACTGTATTGATGAATGAAGTAAACAAAAATTGTTTTGTATAATTCTATAATCATTCTTTGGCATATCTACAATTCAGTGTTATCACACGCATGTAACCTCTGTAGTTTTCCTCTATGGTTACAATATCTGTCTAATGTTTTAATAACAAATTTATAATACATTTGTCCCGAAAAACTGATCTCTTTTATAAAAAAATACTTTTAAAAAAAAAAATTTCGGCTGCCATATTTGCTCTTGTACTCGGGTGGCCGCTCTTACCTGAAAACTGAGAAACTGCAGCGAGTAATGGCCGCCACCAGTAAATCATAAATTCGCCATATGTCCATTACAATGTCGCTATTACTTAAAAAAGTCCTGCAATAGAATTATAGAGATTATATTAAATGTTACAATTATCCATCCACATATGGGGTAACAAACTTTCATTTTTATATAAAGATTTTTTCTTTATTTAATTATGATAATTTTTAAACATATAATAATTATTTTTTTCACTCCTGGTTGTACACATACGTAAGGAATTTATAATATATATAACATATCTAAAGTACATTAATGCATTTGTAAACTAATTAATTACTTACAAAAAAAATATTTATAGGTATAAGGCTAAAAATTTGATTAACTAAATGTAGTTTGTGAAATTATAGGAAACAGTTACGACTATAAAGGTACAAATCAATTAAAATGTCTGTAAATTTTCTACAGTTGTCCTTGGTGCCACATTACAAATGAAGTCGTTTAAATAATTCATCACAATTTCAGTTCATTCAGCAGACCGAGTATAACAAAATTACAAAGGTCTTGTTAAATCGGGCTCGAAGTTCTCAAACGCATTTTCAATTAGACTTTCCTTTTACAATCATTGACGTATTGGCTTTACCAATTTCATTGACGTGTTAACTTAGTTACCAATCCCAAAAGGCAATTAATTATACATCTTTTTCAAAGTGTCAGTCTCTCATTAACATCACTGCCGTGAGTACTTATGAACTTTAATTTCTTTCTGGGAAGTAATTTTCTTGAACCTTCTACCTAAATTCAAGACACAATGATTCAAGCTAGGTGAGAAAAGTGGACGATTAACACTTATGCCCCTTTTTAAGAAAATCGTTTTTTGTTCATATTAAGATGAAACTATCTTTTGATTACTTCTTCTAATTGAACATCTTTTGCTTGTAAGGCTCATTTGTTACAGAACATTTACCAGACGTATAGCAAGCATTAGGGTACGATAATAAAACTTAAATTGTCATGTTAACGTAGTTTATATAGTTTAATAAGAGTTAACACGTAACTGCAATAACGTGACGAAAGGTATAATTTCAAGCAGATGATTGTCATGAATATCATTGGATATCTTATTCTCCTTTAGAATAAACCCCACAGGAATAGTTCTACAAAACAAACCATTTGAATCAATTCAATTTTGTCATGTATTATGAAAGAATTATGAAGCATTCTATCAAATTATCATAATTAATGAAACGAAAAGTCTTCATTTTTAACTAATTACTTTGACTGCAAACGTCAATTAAGTGTAATAGTCTTAGCTGAATGCATAACATTCTTTAATATATCATCCGAAGCTGTTTGCTAGTAGAAAGTATCAAGGTATCCGAACCAAGTTCTTTTTGTCTTTAGTCATGTGAATAGACCAAAGCTTTTAGCATGTTTGATACTGAATAAAAGGGGGCTCATTATTTTTGTGTGTTTGTATTGCATACTTATTGGTATTGTACACAAGAAAAAATGGACTTTGTTTCGGTTAAGATACTTGTGATCGTGTTAGAAGCGTCTACGCTTACTTTGGCCTATTCTATAAACGATACAAAGGATCTACTGACAGAATTATTTACTAGTAACTCATACAACAAGAAAGTTCGACCCATTAAAGACCAGGACAAAGAAGTGAATGTTACAATTACATTTCAAATAAGCGGTACAAATTTTACTTATCTATTTATTCATTTGTATTCATTCATGTTTATATACGTATTTTTTTGTATAAAATTATTTTTTGATTAAATAATTATCATATTTTACATATCTGTTTCATTTGTACGTAATTGCGTTTTTGTTTTACTTTATTTATCCATTTACTTATTTATTTATTTATTGATTTAAAAATTATATAATATAATATAATGATGGACTATAACTGTACATAAATATATTTATCTATTATTATTGTTATATACGAGCAAACAGTAATAAGAAATGCATTCAGAATTGGATTTAAAATCGATATGTTTATACGATTCTTCGCCTTGAGCTGGATAAATAAGCATTTTGTGTTCATTTTGCACATGATAATGAATATTCTGGTGAAAGGAGGGAGTGATCTGAAATTTCTCTCACAGGTTATTGGTCAAAAGCATTATTATATGGTTTACAAATCATGAACAAATATTATCAGCCTTGTTATGCCTCTATAAGTCTCTAGGGAACACCTTTACATGACCAACAATTATTGTTCAATGTTAAGAACGGCAATGCATTCTTTATGCAATTCTTTGTTTGTTGCCATTGCTAACATGTCATTATTTTTTGAAATATTGTTTGTAGTGCTAGTTTTACTTTAGAAAACTCTTATAAACATTTACGTAATTTCTTGCGATGCATGAACGTTAAATATGTATTTTTATGTATAGCTCAGACCATTTCAATGAATATTTCATAAGTATATAAGATATGTCTTTATAACATTCCTGCGCCATAGTGTATGTGATAAATTCTTTTAACAAGCAAATTATAAACTTACTAGTAGGCCCTATATAATTAAATTATTTTGCATTAAGTTATTTTTTTCTAGCTATAACTCAGTTCGATGAACAAGAAGAAAGTCTGACCACTGCTGGATATCTAAGTGTCGAATGGGTAGACGAAATGCTAGCATGGGCAACAGCGGACCACAACGGTATTTCCCGACTTATTGTGGTAAGGTTTTAACTAGATCAACTACAACTGTTGTAAAGTTAATGAGTAGATCAGATTTTAAATATATTTACTGGTAAGAACGGTAATATAATCTTTATTTTAATCTTTATTTCAGTAATCTAAAATCATTTTATAAAACCGTTCAAGTACAAGCCGCAATTGAATATGCATTCAGTTACAAAATATTTATTGAATAGTATAGTAAAGACAAATTATTACACAGATACACAAAAGTCGGTTTGTATTTTATCCGTAAAGTTAAATGTCATGCTAGAGTACTACAACTAAACAGTAAACAAAAATATTTATTTAATAGTATGAACAATCTATTACACGTTTGCACCGAAGTCATTTTGTATCTTGTCCGTAACGTAAAATGTCATGGTACAACTAAACAATAAACACAACTATTTCATCCTGTTTATTTCAGCCACAAGATGATATATGGAAACCAGATATTTCCCTTCGAAATTCTTTCAGCTCTTTCAAAGGTCTCGGTTCATCTTATTTCAACGCATGGATAATAAGTAATGGAGATGTGCAATGGGAACCATTCCAGGTAGCAGACATGCTATGTTTGAATTTTGTTACAATATTCCATGACCTCTGATTCATTATCAGCCAATTTTTATAATAAACATTTGTACAGATAAATGTTTGATCAATGACATTTCAAATTTTATCTGACTAACATAGTTTCATCCAACGTTCACTAAATATATATTGTAATGTTAATTTAAACATATATTGCTTTACATTTAACGAATGTTAATATAGAAAAACCAGTCATTATTATAAGTTCTATTTCAGATATTCAAATCAACATGCTCCGTAGATATAACGTTCTTCCCTTACGATTCACAGACATGTGAGATGAAATTCATAGCGTGGAGTTACTCAAAGAATGAAGTAAAGTTTTTTCTATCGTCTGGAATAATGAAAACAGATTATTCGGAAAGTGCAACGTGGGAAATTGCAAAAATGTCATCAAAGGCTTCAAATGAGGACACTCCGACAATCATATTCACGTTGAAACTAAACAGGAAACCCCTCTTCTACGTGTTAAACATGATCGTTCCAGTAATATTACTATCATTTATGAACATATTTACGTTTGCGCTTCCGGTCAAATCCGGAGAAAGGGCCTCGTATGCAGTGACACTTTTCCTATCAATTTCCGTCTTTCTTACTATCATAGCCTCAGAATTTCCCAAGAATTCAGACAATCTCTCAATCCTAGCACTGTATTTAATTCTTATGACTAGTGTGTCCACGATCTTTGTTCTTGTCTCTGTTTTGCAAATTCGTCTAGTAAACAGGGACGAGGAAAACATGGTGATTGGAACGTTTTACAAATTGCTCCTTCGACTTGTGAATGTATTGATATGTAACAAATGTAATGGTAGGAAGAAAAAAGTTGATGCCATTGGAGAAAGTAAGGACACAGATAATTCTGGCATCCCCGACCAGTCCGAAGCAGAAGCAGAAGTCACGTGGTTAGATGTGGTACACGCAATGGACTTTCTTTGCTTCTGGATTGGCAGCTTTGTCATTTTTGTCGTCACGTTGACGATAATGCTTCTTTTACTGAATAATCCCCAGAGAAACTAACATTTTGCTAATAGCAGTCCCATACGAGTGACAAACTATTCACTGTAATGGTTCACAATGCACTGTTTTGATTTTGATTCTTTGATATGTTCTTTATATCATAGATTTTCATTGTTATAAATGGGTGAAAGCAGGGTCTTTCAAATAGATATTTGAAAGACCCTGGTGAAAGCAAACATAAGGGCGAAACTATATGAAAAATACATCGATAAAATATTCAAGTTTTATAATACATGTACTAATACAAGCACACTTGTAATTGACTTAACAACATTCAACATTAGACAAGTTATTTAACAAGATTTACAAGATATTATTATTGAATAGCTACTAAAGAATCACTAGTAAGAAAGTTTGTAAAGTGTAATTATACATTATAAATATTTCATATTCTTACGTTTCTTTCTCACGTTCAATTCCTGTCTCTTTGAATATATTTGGAATGAATATGTATCATAGTATTTATAGTAGTTACATTAAATAACTCTATTTAGTATTCAAAGCTTAGAATCCGGAATTTGAACTCCATTTTCATTAATTTCAGGGTAGAGTGAATGAGTAATTTTACTGTCCCCTGCTTAAAAATCACATTTAAAATTAACATAAACAATAAAAGACGTTGTCGCAGATATTGCGACATACATGTTTCTTTATAGAATTTTATTTGTTATAAAAGATCATTTTCTTGGCAAGTTGCTTTAAAGTACTATTTAAAGTAGTCCGACGGTGAAGTATTGTGCACGAGATATCAATGCAATGTATTCATGTTTCACATGCTTTTCTTGTCATGCTTAATTGTAAAGGCGTGGAAAATTTTGCCTTAAATAGGGAAATTTTATGTGTTATAATGTTTATGAAATAAAATTAATAATTAAAACTGATTTGTTAATGAAAAAATAGTTTTGTTAAATAATTGGATTATATTTGTGATTATTAAATAAAATTGTAAACATGGATAAATATTTATAACGTTAAGTAGAAATCAATTTAAATAAATTAATATTCAAAAGGAATTTGTGTTTTCTTTTCAATGTCTTGGATTATTAAAGTTAAAAGGAAATTCACGACAGAAATGCTACCTTTACAGATCAATATTTTAACGGAGTCATAAGAGAATAATGATATTTTTTAGTTTCAGGAATGAAATAAAAATTTCTCTTATTGATTTAACATTTTAAATACCTTTCAATCTTTTTTCAACAAACCGCTTGCCCGTCATCGTTGTGGGCTAAAAACCCGCCAGAGACTTTGGATTCTCTCATGTGTGGGAGCTATCCAGCTTCTACTCATGTTCCCGCTCATGCCTGACATAATGCGCACAATTCATTGGGACTCAAGCAAAGTTGTCTTAAAAGCAGAGTGGTCAATAGTGGTGTTAAATAAAGAATAAAAGAACTGTGACTGAATCTGGTGGTCTTAAAAGTGGATAAGCAGATTGGCCTTAATTCTGGATCATGTAAACATGGACATAAAGCACAGAAAATTCCGTTCTTTTGAAAATGGTCCTAATAACGGGATGGTCTTAATGGGGTGGTATTAAGTCGGGATTCTACATGTATTGTCATGTTTCAATACAATTTAGCTGTTTGTGGCTTATATCCCTAAGACTAAAAATTTTTTATGTCTGAGCTTATTTATCGCATGATTCTTAAGCCAATTGATTATTGTACGCTTCATGCAACATTTATAAAAAGGCAATTTATCAAATATGAACTGTTCTTGCATAAAATATATGCATGCCGGATTCACGTCACTTCAAGTCACTGGAAAAAGCAATATTAAAACGGTTATCTATTTTTCCAAAAATTAATTACGTTATTCAACAATAATATTGATGATTTTCATTGCTAGGTTTTACTAAAGATTTTTTTATGATACAGATATATCTTTTATTGCGCATGCTGATGAATTAGGCTTAAATATTAAAAACAAATCTGTAAGATCTTTGTGTTGTTTTTTTTATAAATGTTTAAAATTCCACTTATTTTTTTTAAAATGAAGATTGACGAAAGGAAGTTCAGTTTGATTTTCTGGATGATTTTAAACAGTTATATTGTTTTACTGGTTCAATCTCTACAACAGTGTATTTTCTTGACCATACATTGAAACCAAGATAGGTTTCAACAGAACGTACATCACTGGTTTCCTAAACGCTTCCTTGATCCACTTGTTAAACAGGCTACTTAACTCAATTTAAAGATAAAAGTCGCAAGTAAAAATTCATAGTTTTGTATTTTACAAATTTTGATCTTATTTGTGTTAAAGTAAACATTTATAATACTGCACGTTTTTAATGGCACTTTTCAATGGACAAACGTGTCGATAATATCGGTTGTTGTCAATTTAATAAGAAATTTCACTTTTTTTTCCGTTGATTTGGCGTTGTGTTTTATTTTTACTTGTTCCGTGACCATTAAGACTTTGAAGGGCATAATTTCAAATCACAAAAGGATTTTATAGTTTAAAATTTGAAAATCCAGTCAGAATCAGCAGAAAGACTATTGTGCTATTGTGCAATCTCTTTTAATTTCTAAAAATGTTTTCGAAATGTTCGGTCTAAAGAGTTGACAAAAGGTACCAACTACTCTAGGTATGACTCGATTCATCTTTACTATTCTTATACGGATAAGTGTATCTTACAATATATTGAAAGTGATGTTAGAAACGGCAAAATACTTTTAGATAATTATTGCTTAAAAATCAAAAAAAATATTTAAAAAACGCCAACAGTTTGTTGAAATAGCATACATTTTTAATCAAATAAGAGTCATTACCGCACTGATCTACTTCCATATTAGACTTAAAACTCATCCTCAAATGAATTTATTGAACCCTTAATGTGCCACTTAATAAAAAGCTATGTTTAGAACCCAAAATAATAAAAAAAACATATATGCCTTTCAAAAAATAACAATAAGTGGCACTAACCCAAAAATAAATATTTGCGATAGTAGTATTGATACTGTGATCAAGAAGCTATTCATAAAAAAGTGAATGATGTGCAAAAACAGAAATGTCGATGCCCCTGTAATAGAGAGGCATATAGTTTTTGTAGGGTCCGTATTTCTGTCCGCTCCACTTTCCTCCCGTCCGAACTATGTCCATTGCATAACTCATTTATTCATGGATTGTAAAATAATTGTGTCTAAATGTGTAGCACATTGATACAATGTGTCATGTGCACGTCTAAGTCTGAAGCCCAAAGGCCAAGGTCTCACGAAATCTTTAATAAAATTTCACGTATGTTCGTTTCCCATCGACAATTCTGCCATTGATGGACGGATTTAAGAATTATTATAGATACATAGTTGAACATAATAACGACGTGTAGAGCCCGCAAAAATCAGGTACCCTACCTTTTTGTGCATATCGTTTTCATTCATTGATGGAATTGAAAATATTAACGCATAAAATTTCTGCATACTAAGACCATAATTATGTAATGAGCAAAGTTTAGCTCAGCATTCCAAAGGTCAAGTTCATACTTGCATGCAAGAAGTCATGATATAACGGTGCATTAGTATTCATGCCCAGTCAATGCCTTTTTTGTCTTTTAGTTACAGATTTTGTAATTGCTTAGTTTAAAGATACGATATTTTAAAACAATGCATGAGAAGTCTGTAGCTAAAAGATCAATGTCACCCTTGGACTTTTAAGGTTTATAGTTTTATAAAAATACAACAATGTATAGATCCAGTCATCATTTCCGTATTGGATAACGAAACGAAATAACTAGACAAATTTCTATAGCACATAGGAAAACTGGTCACATTCAAGGACCAGATCGATAGTTTAAAAGAAGATAGTTATACTGTGTCAGAAAGTTATATTGCTGTTTGTGTCTAGTCATATATTTGTCATTCATTCACGGATTTGTTTTCAATAATTAGGCTAAATGAGAATATGAGAAAATTAATGTTTGTAATGCTTTTATATTATTGAAACACTCATGCTAATTAGTAATCATGCTTTAATTGCAAGTCAAGTTCATGGTTTCTTTACTTGGCCCGGATTTTCTGATTTTAAGTTGCTTTATGCAGCTTTGATTTTTCCTGCAATTAAATTATAAATGGTTGTTTTAATGGTCAAAGCTTGCATTGTCATTTTAGAATACGGGTTTGCATAACTGATTGCAAGGCAAATAACTTGTAACTTGAAAATAACTTGATACGTATAAGCTGTAACATTATTTAATTGAACGTAAAAAACTTACTGAATAATTGATATATGAAATTGCTTCATAATTGCAATGTTTTCAATTTGATTATGATATATATTGGCATCTTTTATTTATGTGTTTCCAGTTCAGATGATAGCGATGTAAAGCAAATTTATTATGTCTGTAAATTTTCTAAGTTGTCCTCAGGGCTACATAACCACTTTTAACTTTTATGATATTTCTGTTCCTGAAGCAGACAATACCCTTGTCCTGTAAGCATGTCTTATAAGACTTGGATTTCTAAAAGCTTACACATTGGTAAAATATTTCATTTTTATTCAGATAAAATCATTATATAAATGTCAATTTAACACGACAGGAGGAGATGTAGTTAAGATTTCTCAAACGTTACATTTTATCCCTATTATTTATATAACAAATATGTCGTCATTTTTGTAACATATAAAGCATATTTGAAAAAAAAGCCAACGACATTTTATCTTATACTCTTCTTTGTTGTAGCTGTCAGATCCTCACGAGTTTCACTGTTGTGAGAACATTGGGCGCAATGTTTGTCTTTTTGTATTCCCAAAGCATGGTTATAAATTTAAGGCATATCATGTTTTATGGAAGAATCAAGCAGCATTCAGACATTTATCATACATAATGAGACGACAATATCACATTCCACTGCATTCTGCATAAATCTTAATGTTTTAGTCTTATCTCAATGTTTCATATATTCAATATCTTATTCCTGAATACCTGCATTTGTTTTATAGAAATTAATGGAAGTAGCTGTGGTTTTTCATCTTTGATCATCTAATAAAAACAAAGATTTTATCAAGCCTCAGTTGTGCAGTACTACAATAAATTCACAGAAATTGACATATAAGAAGCGATTTTTTGCGTATAAGTGTTTCATAATTATTTTATTGTGTATATGCAAAATGGAATTTATTTCATTCAAAATTTTTGTGATCGTGTTAGAAGCGTCTACACTTACTTTGGCTTACTCTATAAACGATACAAAGGATCTACTGACTGACTTATTTACTAGCAACTCATACAACAAGAAAGTTCGACCCATTAAAGACCAGGACAAAGAAGTCAATGTAACCATTTCTTTTCATATAAGCGGTAATTGTTTACTCACCTTTCTTTGTTCGATATGAATAAGCTGCTTATTTTAATTTTAATGATGTAATAAACATGTTTATTAAGACATTATCTCAGCACCAGAGTAACAATTTCTCTGTGCTCATCTATAATGATAAAGATAAGATTTTAAATCTTCGTTTTATGCATGTCAAATGTTTGTACAACTCTTCAAAATTAGAGGAAATAAAAGTGCCATTATATTAATTTATTACACTGACAGTAATGCATCACACTTCTTAAATTTTATGAATTTAAATTCACAATCACGTGGTATAAGGAATATCATTAATATTCCTTTTTTTCTAGCTATAACTCAGTTCGATGAACAAGAGGAAAGTCTGACCACCGCCGGATTTCTAAGAGTCGAATGGGTAGACGAAATGTTGGCATGGAAAGAAGCGGACCACAACGGTATTGTCCGACTTATAATGGTGAGATTCTGAAACGGATGAATTAGAATCGTCCCGCTTCGAAGTTAATGCATTCAGAGGTTTTAAAACAAGATGCGTAATTAAGAATATATTCAGTAATGAGTTAAAATCTAAATTTTTGGACACTTAACTCGTATAATAGGCAACATATTTACATGTCAACACTGCAAATGTATCAATTCGTTCACTGCAATATTTTAGTTGCAAGGGAATCTTTATTCAGTTTATAAAATCAATGATTATTAAGAATGTTTTTGTTACACAATTGCACATATACCTTTTTGTAACATTTTTATAAAGTTTAATTTCATAGTGTAAAGTAACATTTGACGTAATTAATCACATTTGTTTTTATAGCCACAAGATGATATATGGAAACCAGATATTTCCCTTCGAAATTCATTCAGCTCTTTCAAAGGTCTTGGTTCCCCGTATTTCAATGCCTGGGTAGTTGATAGTGGATATGTGCAATGGGAACCATTCCAGGTGACAGGAACTTTGTGTTTCAATTCATGTTTAAATTTTTGTTCAATTCGATTGATTGCAAGTTAGTTTTTGTACTTTATACATAGTGGTTTCAGCAGTGACATTCAGATTTTGATTAATTAGCATAGCTTTATTAAGTTTTATTAAGCGTACTTGACAATGTTAATGTTAATTCAAATACTTAATATGTTGCTTGATATAGCAGAATCCGTCGCCAAGTGGTTAATGTAGTTGACTGCAAACCGCATGCCTCCCCCAACTGTAGGTTCGAATTCCGCATTGGATTTTTTCATGTTAGAAAGCTATCCAGCGTGCCTGAACGTGCTTGAAATAACGGCGGTGTACATGAGGCCTTCCCCGACCGATGAAGCTGGAAACTCGCAATATGATCTTTTCTGTGTTGGTGCGACGTAAATCCAAACCTAAAATGATTTTTTCTTCAAATTCTGGAAATGTTAATAGAGCAATAACAATTATTATGGTCTATAACTTCAGATATTCAAATCGACATGTTCCGTAGATATAACATATTTCCCTTACGACTCGCAGACATGTGAGATGAAATTCACTGCATGGAGTTACACACCTACAGATGTCAATTTCCTGTCATCAACTGGAATAAGTAAGACAGATTATTTGGAGAGCTCAACGTGGGACCTTGCCAGTACATCAACAAAGGTTTTAAATGTGAACACGCCGACAATTATATTCACGTTGAAACTAAACAGGAAGCCCCTCTTCTACGTGCTAAACATGATCGTTCCAGTTATATTACTATCAGTTATGAACATATTTACGTTTGCACTTCCGGTCAAATCCGGAGAAAGGGCTTCGTATGCAGTGACACTTTTCCTATCAATTTCCGTCTTTCTTACTATCATCGCCTCAGAATTTCCCAAGAATTCAGACAACCTCTCAATCCTAGCACTGTATTTAATTCTTATGACTAGTGTGTCCACGATCTTTGTTCTTGTCTCTGTTTTGCAAATTCGTCTAGTAAACAGGGACGAGGAAAACATGGTGATTGGCACGTTTTACAAATTGCTCCTTCGACTTGTGACCGTTTTGAAATGTAACACATGTAATGGTAGGAAGAAAAGAATTGATGCCACTGGAGAGAGTACTGACGCAAGAAGTTCTGATATCCTCGAGCAGCCCGAAGCAGAAGCAGAAGTCACGTGGTCAGATGTGGTACACGCAATGGATTTTCTTTGTTTCTGGATCGGCTGCTTTGTCATTTTTGTCGTCACGTTGACGATTATGCTTCTTTTACTGAATAATCCTCAGAGGCTCTAACATTTTTTTTACAAAGGCCATGTAAGAATTTTGGTTTATGACGTTTTCAATTGTTTCTGTTTCGTATTGTTAGTGTTTGAGTACTTACATAATATTCAAGTACTTACAAGTCACTAAATGTCCAAACCGGATATTACTTTTAAGGACAAGAATTATATTATTTGAGTGCTAGTAGTTTAATATAAAATTAAACAAAATTTCTGATTATTGAATTCACGTGTTTTAATAATTTGTTTGACATGTTGCTGATGAACGTTGTGACTGATCAAGTTTTGTCGTATTAAATAGCAAAATATACAATAAAATAAAATACGATTTTGCTGTGTTGCTAAATTTCACAATCTTATAACTTATTTAAAATAGATATATAATGCTGAAATTTGATATCATAAATACTTTTGTGTCATATCTAAAACTCACAATTATTTTTGAAAAATAAATTGCATTCATTAAAAAACACGGTAGAGTACAATCTTAAGAAATGGTCGGTTTTAAAATATAGCATGTACTCTTTACCCATAACATTTGCATTTATGAAGATTTAATATGCGTTTACGATACATGGGTATGATCTCTCACCGCAATCATGTTTTTGTTTGTTTCACCTTTATTCATGTATTGATGTGCTATGAGTGTATATGAGTGAGATTTATGTATGTCATAAAATTAAAATGAATGAAAAATATTTATGAAACTTGGAAACTTATTTAAAATAGGTATACGTATTATGCTTTAATTAATATTTTGAAAACAAAAACAACAATAATTTGCTTTACGCAACTGGTTATAACAACATACAAACAGAAAAATAACAGTCAATAACCTCTTATATCACAATATAAAAATACAATTATGACTAGCTAAATAAACAAAAAGAAGATCATATTGTTCATTTCAAGTACTGAATTCAGTACAGCATGTATTTGATATTGTAACAAATGGGAACGGAGAATGAGAAGTATAAGTTATCTCAATTTGAACATAATGTTTTTACAAAATAAAGATATATTAGTAGAATATTTTTATCACAACTATTCATTAATTAATGTGTCAAGTTTAAAAATATTCGGATGAATGTAAAACCTGGGAAGAAGAGATTTACGTCTTATGTCATTAAAGTGCGAACATTCAAATAAGTAGTGAAATTAATCACCAATAGCTTGATACGGACATAAGGAACAGACCCTATTATTATAATCAATTGCCAAATGTCTGCCTTTTTCGATTGGTAATAGGTGATTAATTGTTCCATTGTTTTAGTATTATTTAACAAATGTTTGACATTTCTATATTTCAAATATGAAATTCTGAGTCAAAATGCGTCTTTTACTTGACAAGTTTCCAAAAACATAGTTTGTGTATTCTCGTTTTCAAATAAGAAAGTATTCAGTAAAATTTCTTAGTTTTCAATACATTTCTGCAATTAATATAATTCGCCGGAAGATGAACGAAGTTCTTGCCTAGAAAAAAAATCTAAAGCATATAGCTATATTGAAGCTTTATTAGAAAGATTATAAAATGTGTAAATTTCAGAAGGTTTTAGATAAATAACTTACTTTCTGTTCCCTCTTAGACTAAACTTCTTTTGAATCAATGTAGTTTTTCTTACTGAGTTTAACATATTTAGTATACAAAAGAAAAATAAGTTTGCGTGCCTAAAATTGAATGAAATACACGAAAGGAAGGTTTCTTTTACATTTACATCTACGTCAGTGACCTTATTATTATGTGTTATTATTATAATTCAGTTACTTCTTTCTTACTTTCAAGTGAGTGTTCCCTGTGTTATGTACAGACTTCAATATTAACAACATTACAATAACGTAACCATGGTATGTTTTACAGGTCAATATCTTAAATAGAATTCAGAAGAGAATCATTAACCTCTTTAATACGATCAATCGTAAATCATATAAACAATCTTTTATCTTTTTGCTTTTATAAAGCACAACTACATAAAGAGAAAGATGAAAACATTAAATGATAGTTTCGCTTCTACTTCAATAATGTAGATTGATATAGTTGTTTTGGTTTGGTTGCGTAGTGTGTGTTTTAAAACTGTATCCCCAAGGGTTGCATTTGTAATGCTTGAGCTTATTTATTGGATGATACTTAAGCTGTTTGATTATGTTATGCTTCATGAAAAGCAATTTATAAAAATGCTCATAAACGAAATCATACCATGTTAACTTTACGTCATTGGAAAAAGTCAATACCGAGTTCGGGTCATTGGGCAAATCAATAGGGAAAACTAATTAATTTTTACTCCAAATTAATTATATTTATTATTAACAATATATTTTCATTTTCGTAAATGCTTAATTTTGACACAGGCTCTGGGTTACATAAAACATAATGTAACTGTCTGTGGTTTAAGCCTGTAAACAGGATAAATTTTGTTTGGGAGTCCGTGTGGTATCGTTTAGGAAAATATTTTTATCCCGTCATCAGGATTAAACTAGGCAGTAAAACGTTGAACGTTTTATATAAATCATATCAAGTAATAAAAGCGTTTGCGCGCTACACATTTTTTTCTATAATCTTCTTAAATAAAACAAAACATATTTTACCTTCGAGATGACGGAATGTTAAATAAACAACAACAACAACAACAACAACAAACAAAGAGACAGTCCGATTGTGACCTTTTAAGCAGGTACGGGATGGCGTAGTATCCTGCCGTTGTATATTATGTTAGGCGTCCTTAAAAAATAAAGGGCGTAACACTAAGATTGCTTTATTTCAACTATTTCTTTGAAGAAAATGAAAATGCTCTAAAAATAGCTCAGATTTTGAGAGGGATGTTTCAATCTATTAAGCAATGTATATACTTCGCTATATCGTATATTGAGAATATCACATGGTATGGTTTTAAACAGAATGTACTCTAAGTCACGGCAGTGTAAACGCCCCCTTAAGTTACTTCTCAATAAAAAAAAATACAAATAATAATAAAATGTTGATCTTAAATCAATATACTTCATCCTCAGTTTAATACTCAGCGTCTGACATGCCACAACACGATTTTCATACAATAACACAACACGAGAAGGAATATGATTTGTTATGTAAGCTTGGTAAGAAATAGTTTATTCTTACTGTATCTTTTTAAAAGTGTTCAGGGATTTATAGCTTAAACATTGAGTAGACAGATCAACAAGAGAAACAACATCACATAATAACAGCAAAGTGTATTTCTGTGCATTTGTGTAAGATGCGTGAAATACTTCTATATTTTCTGCAGCTGTTTTCGAAATTTCCTTTCTTCACGATTATTACAAAAACGTATCAAAGTAAGCTACGTATGACAATATATTCTAAATAGTTCCTACTTTAAAATTCACAGGATAAATGCATCTTTCAATGTAAGGCAATAATTACTTTAAATGTCATTGATTAAAAAGCCTGATAATCAGTAAATAGATGGCAAAACAAAAATTGTTTGAAATGATGTACTAACCAATTTTACTAAATTTGATAAGAGATGACACATTACTGCACTTAGTTGACGACATGTTTCCCTAGTCGTTACTGTAAAATTTCGAAACCCTAAACATAAGAAATAAAAAGAATGACAAATGTAGATTTACGAGATTGAGTTGAACCTAAAATAAGTGTGTTAAAACATCATTATCATTCTCTAATATAGCACAATATAAATTGCTACGTATTTGTTTAATTGAATTTGTTTTTTAAATGGTACTATACACTCTTACTATCGTTAACACATCGTAAAACGTGGCTGAGGAATTCAACAAAAGTTAAAATTACAGTAGTTAACATCGGCAAAAGTGTTCATGGGGCGATGATTATTGAACCTTGTGACACGTCTTGTCAAAATTGTATGTATTTATAGTGAGAACATGGGGCGGACCTTAAAACATGTTTATTTTGAGATCAGATCTACAATTTCTACAGACATTTATAAACTAGGCTGCGTAACTTAAGGTTGGTTGTACAGTATTGATATAAGGATAAAAGGAAACAACCTTAGCAAAATGGTGAAGTTGAAAGATGTATTAATATCCAGCATCTCAACACTTTAATATGTACATGTTACTTTTTATATATTTCTTGTGTTGTTTTCTACAGCTTTGTTTTTCCCTGCAATAAAATTATAGTCTACACAATGCAGAATGCCGATGCTCCTAGGATCATAATGACTCACATGAAGAAAGCAGTTTTCAAATAATGTAGCAGACTTTAAATTAAGTGAAGTAGCATGAACAAATATGGTTACGATAGTAGGCAGGAAGAAAACGAGAAAATAAACCCACAAAAACAGTTTGAAGTACATAAAGTTTAAAATAGCCTATAACCGCTGTGATATAAGTGATATCATTGGCTGAAAATATAGCCTTGTGGTTCGAATAAAACTGAGCTGAATATTTTCTCTATGGCTTTTATATCTGTCAAAATGCTTTATAAAACACTCACTCATTGTTTTCTTGGATGGCAATACTTCAAATTACAAAAAAAGTTACGATTACCCAATGAGAATCGTCTTTACAACAAATGCATTTTCATATTAGAGTTTTCATATATGACTAAGGAAAACTCAATTACGCCAATACCTATACGGATCGTGATACAATCGTTTTAAAAGTACAACTGAATAATTTATATTTTAAATTACTTTGTAAGTAAAATGCTTTTAATTTAATCAAGATAATGCATATTAAGTACCTGTGGGCAGTTAAGATGATAAAGGTTCAACATAAAAAACATGTTTGTAAGTTTTCTAAGTCGTCCTCTTGGGCTACATTACCACTTAAGTTGTACATGTATTAGTCATTTAATCTATTTTCGTTCATAAAGCAGACGATGCATAAAAGCAATACCTCAGTTATGTAAGCATATCTTGTCAAACTTTCGAAAAGTTTACATTTTGTAAAAAAAAAGCAAATACAAAAAACCTTAAAATGGCAACAACAACAACAACAAACAAACAGCAACGGCAACAAAAAACAACAGAAATCACATGTTTTTATCATGTTACCTGTTGCATATTAATATCTTTATGCATTATTTCATATGGAAAATTAGCAGATAACTATTACACTCTTTAATTTAAGGAATGTCATTTTTTCTGCCTGGTACAGAGGCATTTATAACAAAATCTTAAATGGCAGCAATTCTCAACAGTAAGTACAGGGTCGAAAATATGTTAAACAAGTGGATATATTCCTTTTTAAATACTACACTCACTTCATGAAAATGTTGTAAACATAAGTTAGAGGTACAATGGTTTAACAATATCAACCGGTTCAAATTTTAGAAAAGGTAATTAAAAATAAATGATTTAAGGGCCCATTATAATATGTGTATACTTATTCCATGCGTTTAGTGTTTATCAATTTGAAATTAAATTCACAGGGGCTTAAAAACGTGTTTTCGTGTTATGCTATTTGCTGTTCACTCTACATTCGTTTTTAAAATATATCGATTTTTAAATCTATTAAACCTTTTTTTAAATAAATATATTGAAATTCAAATGCCGCAAAATGATTCCAAAACTCGTTGAATACAATCTGTTTCAAGGGTTTAGCGATTCATAAGTATGACAAGGTTGAACATTGCTAACGTTTTGCAATAACTACAATTGATGATAATCAAAGGAAACATGTTTGTTCAAAGTATGATTAAGTTGTTAAAACACGTTTTGTCCTGTTGGTTATATCTATGACTTATCTTCTTTTTGAAACTCTTAAGTGCTCTTTTGTTCATCGTATCTTTTAGTTTAAGTGTTTTCTTCTACTTCAAATAATGTAATCATAGCACTATCTCTTTATATCAAAGTTAAATCTTCACATTTATAGAAAAAGAAGAAACGAACGACAATTGTTACTGTGCGGTCAAAGGTTTCAGTCCATAGTTCAGAAAACTATGTGCTTGTAAAATAATGTAAAACAAAAAAGTGGTAGGATATCAAAGTTAAGAATTTAGTTCTATAGTGACTCTATTTATACGAAATACAGATACGTATAAATATAAGTAACCTTTCTTTAGCAATACGATTTGCAATGAGTGTATACCCAGGACAATGAATCTACAATTAATTATACTATCAGCTTTAGTATTGTGGACTTCAAAACATTCAGGAGGATCAAAAGGTAAGGCATATTAGAATACATTGATGCTGAAGTTGCACTAGAGCCGGACGATATATGCAGAGTGAGTGAAAACGTTTGCTCACATTTTATCACAGTAGAACAGAGGTTCCTTTTTTCAACTTGTTCGTAAGTTGAAGTCTCATTATGATTGATATTCGTTCCTTTATATGTCATCTTTTTTATTTACGTTTTCTAATTCAAGCCGTTAAACTTCTTTATTAATAATTTACATTTGTATTTATTATTTTAATATTATTTTTACATAGTAAAATGGAAAAGGATTAATAACTCATTTAACGTGCTCGGAAATAGTGCACCAAATATCTCAAGGTCAATATTTCCTTCAATATAGTAAAATTAAGTGATTTTTTAATCAACAAATTGATATAAAATAAGTGAGGGATTTTGTATAAGACCAAAATGTGTTATTTGATAAAAGTGTTTTCATATATCAGTTTCAAATTAAAATCATTTTATTTTTCTAATTACACGATTTTCACTAATATCATTTGGTTTACCTTGTAAAAAGTAATATTGATCACCAGTTGTTTCCGGATATATAATACTTTAGTGTGTGTTGAAAAAAGTACAACAGTTGTCTGATGCAATGAATCGTAAAATGTGTTAAAGTATTGTCCATTTATGTCATTTTACAGTACGTTTTTTCTAAAAGACAGGTACAATTCACGAACAATTAATGAACATTCGTATTGTCATTATTGCGTTTTCTTCTGTGTTTGTACTGACATAGATTAAATTGAAAAATAGATTGAAGTATTTTTGTTACATGAGTTTACTCTCATTATAGTTTGTTGTTTGTTTGTTCTGGGTTTTACGATTTTAACACATTCTTTAGTCATATTTCGGCAGTCAAACCACCATACCGGTTTTTCTGGATAACTTCCCAGGAAATACCCAAATTTGCTGCAAATGCCCGAACACTTATCCACATGATTTCTGAATCAGAAAAATTACGCTTCGCCCAACCAGCAACCCCCAGATTGCTAATCCGATCCTCTTATTATTGAGCGGATACGTTTTTTAGCAGAACATAATAGAGTCTATTACGTTAATAATACATAAATTTGAAAATATAGAAATCCCCAGCTTTATTATCTTTTATACACAGTCCTTATATAATGTTTATTACTTATTCAGTAGTTGCTGGAGATGCCCTTTCATGTCAAGGATTTATAACTGATAGCGAAACGCGGGATCTCATCAACACAGCACGTGCGAGGACAGAATCATGTCCTTGTATAGAACAGATCATTGCAATTGACGACACATTTGAAAAGAAGAATAATTGTTACAAACAGTGGTTCTTTTCTGATGATGCTAAACAAGTTTGTTGCTACAGGTTATGTTCTTTAATATATTGTTTAAAAATAATTGTTTGCGTATATTAATGCTATGATTTGCTCGTAGGGAAACAATATCTGTATAAATTGAGTATCTGTTGATTCAGACCTATGTTATGTCTTGTTGGTACGTATCATCACATTCAATACATGTTGAAAAAGAATAAAAATAAAGTTACATTCCGGACCTAGGTTAAGGATAAGTTTTTATATTTCAACAGAGTCTTTCAAATAGAATGGTTTGGAAGCGTGCTATGTAAACTCTTCTCTTACAATTAAACATGTCTCGGTATAACTAAGTATAGTTCGCTTTACGCAAATTATGTAAGTGTTCGAGGAAAGGGCGAACATTAAAAACAAGAGCAAATATGAAAATTCTAACGACATGATGTTCTTAAAAAATCTTCAAACTTGTGAATAAAGGATAAAAGTTTTAGAAAATAATGTTCAGAATATTTGCCGATAAACTGCGCCATTTTGTAAATTCTCCAAATTAAATATCAAATATTTGTTAATATAATCGTGAAATATTATAAACATTTTACATGATAATATAACATTTTTTTCTCTGTAAAATCAATTTCTACTTAAGCATTGAATAATGCATAAATAAAAAAAACTTTTGAAACTCAGTTCTATTTTCAAATATGAGCAGTAGATTTTTACCTTGATACCGGAAACGAAAAACTCCTAATTTCATTACAAATTTATAAAATTGTTACTTTAAAGTAAACACTGATAATGTAATGTAGCCAGGATTAGTTTTCAGTATTTTGATCGATTTAACAAAACATTATCTTATAATTTGATCTTTGAATGGTGATGTACTTTGCCAGATCACGGTCGTATCCTAATTATGTGACTCAACCGAGAAATCTTTTTTCGTAAAATTCACTCCAGACCGTTCCTGTTCTCAGTTATAACTGGTTAGAGACTGGTAAGAAACTATAGGTCAAATATGTTTGCAGCGAAAATGGCCAACTACTTGTAGATGGTCCAGGGGCAGGATATTTTCTCCTCAAGACAAGAGAGGATTACATTGAACAAGCCCATGACACTTGTTGTGCGAACGGATCAGATGCATTAAGGGAATCTTGTGAGTCATTCTACCAAATGAATTCACCTGATAATTGTAGCTCTTACGTTCCGCCAGTTGTTTGTAAGTATTTTTGTTTTGTTTAAAGATAAAGATTCAGTGAATAGTAGAATTATTAGTATTTAAAAAACAAAGAACCAATATTCAAGCAAACAGTTTATTACAAAACTCTCTCTGTTAATTTGTTTGCACTTAATATATACTTTTCATAAAACTCTTTTGATTTACAAGTCCATTGCTATATGAACAATTTATTTTAACAATGAAAAAGGGACAAGAGGTTCGAGGATAGAAGGTGTGTCCATCGTTCTAATATTCTTGAAACGAAAGGAAAGAGTACTTTATTTTGAGTTGATATTGATAATTTGTTATGTCCCGTGTTAGTACAAAATAATATTAATATGATGTGCAATTTTAGTATGTGTTATTTTTACTTATCGTGTGATGTTCAGCAATTTCATCAGGAGATCCCGTCATACAAACAATAGATGGAGGAAAATATGATTTTAATGGCCATGGTGAATATGTATTTCTGACAGATGGGAAGTAAGTAGTTTAACCTATTTAGAGATAATTAGTAAAAGTTAAAACAAAAATTATTTAAATAAACGTTTTGAACATGGTAAGTTATGTTAAAATTTGGACAAACTTTGGTATTTGAGAAGCGTGTATATATAAGAAAAAAATCTATGATTGTAAAACATACAAATCGTATTTTAATTTAGAAATGTCCACGTTTAACTATAATTAGAGTTGTTAAATCTTATGACTACTAACATGTCTTCATCTAAACGTCATTTGAATAATCAGAAGTTATTGTAGAGATATAAATACTTCTAGTCTTAGATTTACTATCATTTACCTTTACTCTGTATTTATTTTTTTGATTCTACAATATTTAGTTTATAGCGAATATTTCATTGAAACAATGTTTGTCCTGCATAAATAGATCAATATTTCATTACTTTATTGCAAATGTGATTTCACAGGCGTTGTTTTTGACTGATTGATAATGTGTAGATTAGAATTTTATGAAATAACATTTTATATGCTATGTTCTGATGACAATTAAATTTTAGCTGAAATCAAACAAACATATTTTCTTTGAAAAATAAAAGATAGAAGCAAAGAAAATTCATGTGATCGGCATCAAATGAATAAAAAAATATAGTATTTTGATCAGTATCATCTTAATTTGTAGCAAGTATATTTTTGAAATCTTCGGGTAATTTTCTTTTAACACTGATGCTTGATAAATATGAAAATCAAACATTTCTATCTTGAATATACTTTTAAAACTATAATATAATCATCTGACTTTTGTCCTCGTTTGAGCGAAAGAACAAAACAATAAACAACAACAACATGCAAAATATGAAACACAAATCAACAATGAAAGGTATCATTCAAGGAACGCATACCCAACACGGGACCAGTAACACAGGGCCACCAGCAAAGTGCCAATCTTTTGCAGCAAGACAAAGGATTGCTATGTTTATTAAAGACAATTTTAAAAAAGGTTATGGCATTGTGAGCGACAAAGTATATTTGTTTTTCAATCTTCATTTTAGAAATTTTGAAATTCAAGCTAGAACAGAATATGTTGTGATGGGAAACGTTGATTCGACATATTTTTCTGCCTTTGCCTTACTAGTAAGTATAACCCTTACTTACCAGTGATGCTTTTTACAACTTATCGCTTAAATCACGACACAGAAGTGTAATAGACCCATTTCATAACAATTGTATTACACTGATGACGTCATTTGCATTATATGCAAAAGTAGCGTTAAAGATCGCTAATATTAGCGTCACATTAAAAGTGCGCCAACGGAAAATGACTATTTTTAATAGTTAATCGTTCATACTTAGATATATGATAAATATAATATTATATTCGAGTAGATTCAATACTACATTTATTGAAGTCGTGGAAGAAAGCAATCGTATGCTCACCAGAGAGTCTTGCATTATATGATTCCATTCAATTCGTTCTACAAATTCACTGTTTAATCATTCAATATCATCTATTTACGATATTATTTCAAGGAAAAAAAATCCTGACAAGTCTTTTAAAATTGCTGAACACTGATGTATCTGCACCTGCACATTTTATGTGTACAAATAAATGCACGCTTTAAATGAATTCAGTTTGCAATGCTGCGTTCTTTTTGGTTTGATAAGCTTACTGCATTTACAAAAAATTAAAGTGGGATGATAAATGTATAAAAAATTATACAGTATTTGTTAAAACCTTCACCTTTTAAATCATAACACACTGATCAATCCCCTCATTTTGAGTCGTCCATTGTTTAATATAGAATTAACGTGTTAATGTGTCTATGTTGCAAACCAGTTTTGTCATATTCGAAATTTATTTTTATTATTTTTTATTGACATTAAACACGTATTTTTCAGTCGGATGTGCATATCTATAAAAGTACTTTTACATTGTTATGTTTGTTAAACTTGCGATACTAAATGTTGACAGAAATATTAACAATATCTTTCATTCGTTTATTTTTGTACATGTATATTCCAGGATAAAACGTCAGACGAGCAAATAGAGCTCCATTATGATCGGGAAGCAGATGATATCAGATATTTTCGGAATGGTATATATAACAGCAAATGTAAAGCGTCATCACTGTTAGGACATGGAAGACCTTATCCTTGCGAACTTCCTCTAAGACCTAATTGTTTTGTGTTAGCTGGTGGTGGTAAAATAATTATACAAAACTGTGGCTTCAAATCTTATATCAAACAGGTATTTGTATGAAATTACTGTTTCAATTTTTTTTTTCAAAACATTTTTGTTATTTGTAAACACTTGCATTAAAATAAACGTCGAATGTTTTGATAGATTACAAGATATGCATATTGACAGCTTAATGTGAGTATAACTAAGAAACACAATATGTATCACTATGTATTATAAATAATGTAATAATTTTGTTGAATTTCTTAAATTAAATTGCAATGCCGTGATATGTGTGATTGAATAACAAATTAGTTGTCGGATTGTTAAAATGACCGCCTGCTAGTAAAGCGATCTTAAGGTTGACCCTTTTTTTGGAGCATGCCTCCTTAAGTGACACATATGCTAGCTAGTTCCAATAAATGAATTGTTGTGTTATTTGTTCCACAATTGGTTACCTAAATACATTTTCAATATTACTTATCAAACTTACACGTTCTTGTATTGAATTGAAATTTAAAAGAAAATTTTTTTTAATCGTGCGTTCCATTTTTTCTGTATTTCAACAATAGCTTGTATTTGGGACTGACAATTTCCTGAGTGTACAAATTATCAAAGACTCTAGGGCAAATATAACAAACATCACTGGTCTAGCAGGACATCGGGAGGACGGTTTCTACATTATGAGAAACAACACAAATGTTTCTGAAAATGCTTCTGCATTATCATTCTTTCAATTTGGCGAATCATGTATGTTGTTTCCGATTATTCTGATTTATAAAGATTCTGGCGAGCGTTTCACTATCATTCCGTAAGTTTTGCGTATCTTGTTACGTACATTTGGACTTACGCAAAACGTAAATATACGTTAGTTGCAGTTCACTAAACAGAACGTGCAATTAACGCCAGTAATAAGGGAGCGTAATTTTACGTTTAAGCTTACGCAAATGCGTGGCTAAGAAAGTTTAGAGAAACGCAAATAAATACTTTAAGTTCTGCTTACGAAAGAAGTTACGTTCAAACTCGAGTTACAATAACGTTAGTACGTTAGTGAAACGCACCCTTGATGTATATTATATATTTATCTAAAAATGTCATAAACACTTTACAACAGAGCAGTTATATTAATATCTATATTTTAAGTAAATAATAATCAACTGAATGTTTGTTGTTAATGAGCATGTTTGTATGTTTATATTTCACTATAAAGACACCAATTGTATTCTCGGGCGGATATTGTGACTTCATTTAGTTTACTCGTTGACTTTACAGGAGGTGATAAATTGGAAACATGTAAATTTTTTTCTTTTCTTTTTAAATTTTTATCATAAAAGTTAACATCATTTAAGTTTATTTATGTGATTAGTATGTGTCCATAGTTATACTACGTGTCAGAATGATGATCAATTATCATGAAAATCACCAGGTATTGTGATGTGAGAAGATAATCAATTGTCGACATTCGTATTTTATAACATACTATAAATCGTAGTTATACAATGAACATTGATCTTACGTTTTCTGTTATGGGTATTGTGAATAAGAGGTTTTCAATAATTCTACATTTGAATGTGATTTGACGTACAGAAAGGAATTAACAAAAGTTCAGTTTGATGAAACCACATACTTTTCATGTTTCATTTTGTTTATTTATTGCTAGGGTCATTACAGAATGAGTCGGAGAGTGTTTTCATGTATAATGAGACTGGTGAAAATTTTACAATTTACAACACATATCATACACGTCCAGAGTTCCTTGAAGACAAACTTGGCAACCTGACAGCATTGTTCGAAAGCTTTCCACCAGATAATATTACACTTTTCAACAAAACTTGTAGAAATTATTGGAATAAGGAACACAATAAACAGTGCCTTCTTACTATTGCAAGGACAGGGGATTATAGCCTTGGATTAGATGTAATGCTTAAGGCAAATGCAACACATTACAAATGGGAAATTCTCCGTAATATTTTTTTTTTCAAATAATACAACTCCAATTAACACAGAAAGTCTGAATTTACAAACGCAATGATAACTTTTATTGATGATCATATATTTTAACTTTATAATTTGTTTCTTATTTCTGAAGTGTGAGACCCAGAATTTTCATGCACATCTTTCAGTCCATTTATAGTTTATCGAAATCGTGAATAGGCAACCAAAACCCATCTATATTTTACGACAGAAGAGAAAAACGTAAGATTTTTTAAAGTTAGAGAATCTATGATGTACAGTCGGGTAACTCTTTTTATGATTACTGTTGTTTATACATTTTTGTATAAATAATGTAATAGATTTTGTTTCGACTTTCATGACACCGTTTTGGTTGGCTACAACGCGCCTATATTGAGTAATTTATTATTCTTTTTTTTATCAAAAAGGTGAAATAGTGATCAACATTACAAATGAATTATCTGTTTCGACTTTGTAGTCATGTACAACAACAAATACATAACTCATAAGAGGATATTAAATGAATGTAGATTTAACACTAAATATATTAAACGAGTTAAATAAAATCATATTGTGCGTACCTCACGTGAGTATAATATTGTTGTATGCAATAATTCAATAAATCAAGTATTGAATCTACACGGATATAATGTTGTATTTATCACATACCTAAAATGAAAACGGTTTATAGCTTAGCGTCATTTTTCATGGAGGTGTATGAAGTGTAAAACTAATATTAGCGTGCTTTTACGCTATTATTGTATACAACGTAAATGACCTCATGTCAAAGTGTTATTACAATATTGTACTATCGGTTTTATTAAATGCGTTTGTTACACACTACGGCTGCGGCTTATGTGATAAATATAAAGTATCTCGGAGTTGTTCCGACATTTTTCTGCGGGTTGATTGAAGTACATCGCAAAAAACTCAATTGCTACTATCGAGCTTTACATTACACTCTGAAATATTCTGTATTAAAATGTAGAGTCAGTCAGTTCAGAATCCTGGATAGTTAGTATCTTTAATTCTTAATAAATTTTTAATATTGAATACATTTGTCTTACAACTGTATGGTGTAATAAATTCATATTTTTTATATTATTTACCTATGCATAATGCTTTACTGTGTAGCTTATTTGAAAGACGTCCATTGATATATTTATATAACTATCCTGTATTTCGTTTTATTTACTTCAGATAATAAAGCTCCAATTGTATCACCAAACTTTCCAGACATAATCACTGTCAATATTCACTCAACATGGACCATTAATCTTACTGATTATGTTACCGATGATAATACACCCCCTGAAAATCTCGTGTTCGAAAGTACCACAAATTTATCAAGGAATGAATATACAATAAGTAATTAATATTTTTATTCAGAATAAACTTTATTCATTAAAATAAAAATAGATTTAAATCAGAGTGATTTTTGGTTGCTTTTTACAAAACTAATAAAAACAGCAAAAACACCCCAAACAAAAAATTATTAACCAAAACAATTATTGTGTTTTACTTCACAATTTTGACGGGAATAATATTAAAATGTGTCAAATATACATAAAGGCTAAGTGCACCACTACCTTAGTAGCTTTAAACAAAACATCTGACAACTACTTCATGGCTTTAAATTTTTGGTGATCAGTTTTCAGTGGTTTAGAGAGTTGTTACATGCGCTTGCCAGCAGGAGGTCGCTTGTACGAATCCGAGCCACGATGTTTTTAGAGAAGAGAAAATATTGATTTACCTGCTTTTTATACTATATCACTATTGTATACTTGGTATTTCAGACAATGGAATTTTTACATGGAACGTTGGCACTGGTTTACGAGACTTATACACAGGCATAAAATTCACCGTATACGACACATTAAATGCTAGTTGTGTTTTCAGTTTTTCAATCAACTACTGTGGATGTAGTGAAGTTTCGTTTTGTTCATTTAATGGTACTACTGACTATCCTTCAGGTAATCATGCTCAGTTGTTTGCTTCTTTACTTTGTTTATACTTTTCATTTCCCAAAAAACTAAAATAAATGAATAAAAAATGAATAAAAATAAAAAAAGAGAGAATTGGAAATAGTACCATTTACTTGAAGTTCGAAGTAAAACGTTATTGCTACATGAATTAAACTATTAAATTCCTAACAATTTTATCCAGATATTGCATACACTAGCTACACGAATAAAACTATTAGTCGACGTTTTATTCAGATACTGTGGTTAAAGCATCATGTATTTGTCCAGCCTACACTAGCGGATTGTATTGCGAAGATATCATAGATCTTTGTCCTAACTTTAACTGCTACAATGATATTTGTAATGTGATTGTTTACAAATCAAATCCTTCGTGGCCATGCGGTCCTTGTCCGAAGGGAAGGGAACATTGGATGCCTGGATATAATCAGATATGCACAGGTATTTTCATAATACATATTCAAAATTATTTGAAACAACATGCGCATTGTTTAGAGACTGCTTTATTTATGCCCATATGATATTGATTATGAAGTTGTTACAAATACCAATTGCTTAATATGTAAATGAAATATGTAGACATACTTGTGTCAGGATAACATTTCAAATGCTCACAAATATATTACTTACTAACATGAACAAGATTGGAAATGAAAGATCTATTGTTTTAAATGCTTCAGGTTATTACTTATTTCGTTTCATTAAAAGATATATATTTGTGAGTGCCTTGCCGTACCATAAAACATTCATCTCGTATGTTTCTGAATAATCTTTTAAATTTAAATGATGTTTTAAACGTTAGCTTTATTCAATAATTCAGAAAGAAAATAAACACAAAGTTATCTAAGAATTATCAAATCTAATATATTCTATTAACAAATTCTATTATACTTCCCACAAATTACGAAACTAATTCTTATAGATATTGACGAATGCAGTGTTGATTATGCTGGAGCTGACAAGTGTGAGCAGAATTGTACAAATAATGACGGATCGTTTAAATGTAGCTGTTTCAATGGATATGAATTAAATCGAAATGGCTATTCATGTGATGGTAATATGTGTGATATGTTATCAATGTATTTTGTAACTTTAACTTTAAATCATATCGAACATTATCAGATTTTTGTATACAGATTCAGGTTAAATCAATTCCTTCATAACTGAAATAGTAGCCAGGTAGCTTCATATAAGGAAAGGAAAACAGCTTGAAATTGATTAATTGTTGTGTCTATTAAATAACGCGATAATTTTAACTCCCTTCGGTTGTTGTCAATTTTTGCCAATTACTACTTCAAAATTAGTATATAATGTAAATTTAGATAATCGCTATGACTTTTGTTATCATGCAAAAATGCAAGGGTAATTATAAGCTGTCAATACAGTAATTTCACTATATTTTAGATATTGATGAATGCAGTAGGGGAATTCGAGTGTGTGGAAGTACAGAAATCTGTGTGAATACTTTGGGAAATTCGTCATGCTTATGCGCTCCGGGATTCCAAAGACTTAGTGATAAAACTGGCACCTGTGTAAAAATTGGTACATTTTTTTATTATTTCTAAGCTATCAATATGGCCATCAAAACATACATTGTTCTTTTAGATCAGTCGTAAGAATACAAACAGACCCCACAAAAAAATTGAAAGAATAGACATGAAACAGTCAGAATGATTTATAGTTTTTATATTATATTGTGTCCACTTTTGTTTGTTTTATAGTGGTAGGTAACCAACCATGCATTTTATGATTACTGTTGAATGGATATTATCTTAAAATGTCAATATGAATCTGAAAAAAAAACTGTAATGAAAAGTCAAGACGGATATATATATTCAATCTTTGCTTCTGTATATTTTGTTTTTAAATATACATGGATGTTTTTATCATGTATATGCATTGATGAGGTGTAAATAAAGATACTATTACTTTTAATGAAATTGGTGAATATACATTTTGTATATAGATAACGATTTTTTTCTACTAAAGAGAAGTAGGGACATTGTTTCTGCATTCGCATTCATTTTAACAAACTCACGATTTAAATTTTACGAATTCTGATTTCATTACATGAAGCTTGTATCTTGAATTCCTTCATGAAGTGTAAACCTTAAATCATTCAGAAAATTGAAATTATTAAAACATAAATGTGTGTGTTTGAATTAATAGATTCTGTATACCAACCATGCATGATTAAAGTTGAAATCATAAAATCGTAACTTGGAAATCATTGAAAGTACATTCGGTACGTCGAAGTTACTTCATAAAATGTCGTTACAGGATCTGTTGAGGACGCTGTTCAAGTTAAATGTTCCGATTCACAATGGGATGTTGAAGTCGACATGAACATACTGCAAGCGCAGTATCCAGCCATTAAACCCGTTGACATTTTCCTGGGAAAAGCTAAATGTCTTGGAAAGCTGGAAGGGTCTCTTCTGAAGTTCCGGTATGACCTAAATAGCTGTAAAACTGCAGATATGGTAAAAAAAATCACTTCATGGTGAACTTTATCTTGAATAACATGTATACAATGTATCTGTTTATATTTCAACTGAACACACTTACATTTACTTTATACATTTATTATTTTACATTATTCAAACATGCAATGCTTTATCTGTCGGAAGAGATAAAGAACAACTAAAAGAATAATCGAATTTTTATTATCTCTTTTGAAAAGCGATTCAGCAAACGTATATCTGTTATTTGACAAACATTTATTAGAATCATAACACTGAATAAAATGTGAATTAGCTGCCATACGTAACATAGGAAGTCATTATTTTGTGCATTTGCAGCGCACCTTATCTGAAATTAACATACATATCTTCATATATTTCGGAACTTAGATATAAATGTTATAAGAATACATACAAATATTTATATGATTACAGATAAGCTAATTTTGTATTATACCAGTCCAAATGTGAATGATTTCACGATCAAGATCATCATTGTAAAATTGAAATAAAGTATTGAAATAATGATTTTATATTTAATTGTTATTTAATTGCTATTTTCAAAAAGATGATAAATAGCGGTTAAACAAACATTGTCAGCTATCTATTCCAACTAGTCTTGTCAAATTTCCTCTAGTATTGAACATAACTATGTTTTACCAGAAAGATACGTATATAAATATGCTACTGTATATATGTAGACTCGATGTGCAATCAGTATTTTACTTTACTTTCAGACTTCAAGTATAACGCATATTTACAGCAACAAATTACTTTACGTGATGTTTGATCCTGTGATACCATTCCTCATTAGACGTCATATTTGGACGTTCATTGTGGAATGTGACGTAATTAGAGGTGGAACAGGGACGTCACATTTACATCACGGCATCGAGACGCACCATTCAACTTATGTGAAGCATTACAATGTCACCGTGCAGCTCTATAGTGACAGGGGTTTTCATAATCCCATTATTCCAGAGGCCAGTAACATACATGTTGGGGATGACGTGTATGTGAAGGTTTCTACAAATATTCCCGATTGGAATACAAAGATGCGACTTCATACGTGCTTCACAAAACCAAACGCCAATGCAAAAAACGATAAAGATATCATATTAATAAGCAATGGGTAAATGCTATATTTGATGTCTTTCTTTTAAAGTATTTAAAGCGAAATGCCTCTAGATTATTAAAAAAATCCTTGCATTTATAGCCAAAATAAACTCAAGTTTGTTATGTAAACAAATATATATAAAAATGCTTCACAATTGTTTTGTAAATATAACATTAACATGCTTAAAAGCACACATAGTAGATAAGTTACGTTTAAACCCCTACGTACTATTTGTAATCACAGTATGTGTACTAAGGGTCATTAAACTACTGCTAGTTTAATTTTTGAGAAAGAACCAATAAAACATTATCTGTAGTAGGTGATAACGATTCCAATTTACAGTGTTTGTATTCATTAGGCAAGCATTTCCTAGATTTTAAGTCATTTCTGCAGTTAAAGTTTATCATACCAAGATATATATCATTGAAAATATATATGATTTTCGAGAGCAAAATATCTAACATCAACGTGCAACTTTGAAATATTTTAATGCAAACTCTGAAGTTATGAGAATTGAGTACCGCTCAAGCCGGTGCTAGGGGGCGTGAGGGATGTTACACATTTTCATTATCCCTCATGTACAGACTCAATCAAACCGAGTCTGCAATTCTCTTGTAATTTTGTTGTGATTAATGCTTCCGAGGGATCACTTTGTTTCCAGATTCTGATAACATTTACTATTCTTATAACCAATTTCCCACCATTTACTAACAGAGTAAGAAACATATGTTGCATACATGAACTGGCCATTCTGCTTCATCAATAATAGGTGTCTATTTTTTTCAAGTTTCCACGAGAATAACAGAAAATCAAAGGCGTTCTTAGCAGATTATTGTATTCATTTTTTAAATGTTTTTATTTTATCGTTACAGTTGCGAGGTCGACAGTAGTACACACATTATTTCTCAGTCAACGCATGAAACAAGTTTTGTCTTCACGGACTTTGAGTATCTAACAAATGACGAAGGCTTAGACATAATCTGTAACGCAACATTCTGTGACGCAAGGGATTACTCACCCGAATGTTCTCAGTCATGCTCTCGTGGTCCTGCCATTATCGGATGAACAGTTTAATCATAATGCATATTATGTTGTTGATTTTGTTGTTGTACTATAATTTCGTTTAAAGTGACTCCACTGAGGGGTTTTGGCTTAACAGTACTTGAAATATTTTTTCTAGATAAATATTCAGTTTGATGTAGTTCTATAACAATAACCTGTCTAAAATAACATCTCATTCGGTCATTCCATTTTTCCAGAATAATAATGTTAGTTGTAAAATATATCCAATATATGATACGAGTCGCAACGCTTTTCACTCAAATCGGTCTAAGAATGGCAAAATAGTAACATAATTTTCAATTAAATTTTGTTGTATACAATTTTATTACATTTTGCATTATCTTTCTGTTGTAAGTAGCCCTGGTGATCTGTGTTAGCAATTCAGATTTTATGTTTTTAGGTCTTTGGTCCCCAGTGGAGTTCCTTTATACATTTGATCATAATTCATATTAATTATATATTTAATCATAATCCATATTAGCTTTGTTAAGGCTTTGGTGGTTCTTTTATTATCTAATTAATATTTTAAATAAAACCCATATAAGCTTTGTCGATGAGTTTGCGATCCTTTATATATTAATTATCACCCATATAAGCTTTGTTTATGCTTTCGTGGTTCAAATATTATCTAATAAATATACTAATTATAATCCATATAAGTATTTGCATAATTTCGTGGTCCAGCACATCTGATGAATATATATATATAAATAAGATCCATATAAACTTTTTTATTGCTATCATGGTCTTACTATTTTATTAATTATAAACCATATAAGCTTAGTTTATGTGTTCATAGTCCAAACAATTATCTGATAAATATATCAATTATAATCCATATAAGTTTTGTTTATGCTTTCGTGGTCCAACAATTATTTTATTTCTATATTAATTATAATCCATATAAGCTTAATTTATGCTTTCGTGGCCCAACAATTATCCAATAAAATTTTTAATCATAATCGATATAAGCTTTGTTTTTGCGTTCTTTGTCCATTTATTATCTGATTATTATATTAATTACAATCCATACTAGCCTTGTTTATGCTTTCGTGGTCGAGCAATTATCAAATAAATGATTTATTCTTAATCTATGTAAGCTTTCGTGATCCAACAGTTATGTTATAAATATTTTATTCATAATTAATATTAGTTTCGTCGAGGCATTCATCATCGCGGCGAGAAAAAGTGCATAAAATATCTTGAAATCATTGGTTGGAATCGAAGGACTTTGTCTTAGAAATGGTAAAATTTAGTCATCGAAATAACACAACTCATGTAGACTTATGAAACCAGATATCGGGAAATGTCTCACTTCCTTTTCACTTCAACACATCGACAAAAATCAAAACAATTAATCAATGTTAGATACAAATAGAGTCTACTTAGTTTCATTATAATATTTAAAGGTATATAACATATAGGATTATCTCGATTGTTATATGTTTTGTTTTGTTTTGATTTATTTTATTTTCCGGAACTTTAAAACAAAGTTAAATTAAAAAAACAACAACTTTACAAACATATCTCAGATCGTCATAATTGTCAGAATAAACAACGGTTACATAAGAAAAACAAAAAGAATAATACGTTAAGTAAAAGGCAATCTAAGGCATGATAATTGTTGTTTATAGAATGTTTCAATATGTTTTCATTTATCAAAAAAGAATCGTTTCTACGTTGATTGTGAAAAATAAGAAAAAAATGAGTGCAATATTTTGATGATTATAAGTTAGTCTATTGCACAGAGAAAGCATTAAACAGTATGAATAAAAAATCTGAATATGTTTTTTTTATAACTGTTCATCTACGAGGGTTGTTCGGAAAGTTTTGAGACTGGGTCAATATTTAGCGTTGGAAAAGATAAAATCAAACAAGAGTTTACTATGTTTTACTTTAATACCTCATCTATTATAGTGTAAAATTTCATAACAATAGCTTCATGTATACAAAAGCTACAAAGCGTTAGGCACAGACACTACCGGTGACCTGGCGCACGCAACGACGTTATCCGACGTTATATTTCCAGAGTTTAACGTCACCGTAGAAAAGTCAACTGCTGCTCCTTTTCAAAGTATCTTCCTTCACAACGTACACATTTCTCATGCCTCGTAACATATTTGGCGAATACATTTCTATACCAATCAGATTTAAATGTTGCAATAATGCTCATAACTCTAGAGCGCAGTTCAACTAGGTCCTCAAACCGGATTCCTCGTAGTTCGGATTTGATGGCCGGAAAAACGGAAAAGTCGATTGTGGCCAGGTCGGGTGAGTAGGGTGGGTGAGCGATGCGGTTAAACCCGAGAACATCAAGTTCCAGAGAAGTGGCAGATGCTGTATGCGCAGGCGCATTGTCTTGATGTAGGTAGATGTTCTCCAGATTCGCAAGCATTTCCGGCCGCTTCTTACGGATAGCGTTGATCAGTTCGCGTTTCTTGCAAGTGTCAGTTTATCGTCGCTGACGGATGGGCGACCGCTCCTTTCCTTGTCTTTTGTTGACTTTCTGCCATCCCGAAACTCTTTATGCCATCTAAATACCAATGGTCGACTAACAGTACGTCCGTTACATTAGGTAGAAAGATGATTGTTTTAGAAATGCATGTGCGATAATGTGTACAACTTCTTATTTGATTTTTTTTCCAATCATATAATAACTTTCTGATTTCGTTTACTTCTGCAATCACGTTCAAATTTCGTTACATTTAAAGTAATCAGAGAAAATCAACGATGTTTTTCGAGTAATATAATTGTGGCTATGGCGCATCACGTTTTATATCACCTTATTTTATGTGTATAATTAAAAAAAATAATCTAAAAAAAAACAACAATAAAAACAAACAACAAAAAGAACATGTGAATAAAAAAAATATAACGCATGTACATGTAGCCACTTTCGCTTGGAATACATTGAAACCATTTTGTTATCTACTTTAAAATTCTTTTTCAGAATTAAGACAAAAATAATGAAAACATTAATTTAAAAATGGATTTGTTCCGTGTTGACATTTTATCTGACGTGCATTTACATTGATAATGTGACATTTCTGATATATCTTATATAGATACACTTCTGTTCTTTCCTCGACGTTTCTGAAACATGGTAACCTCATATACACGTGTAGTCCCTCTTCATGTTTGATATGTTCAGAAACAAAAATAGCGATACTAGGTGTTGACCATTTTACTTCTTTAAGCGAATATGACTGTACAGTAGAAATTCGGTACATCGAAGTCGATGAGACTTTCGTCTTAACCTTGGGACATCAGAAATCCAACTTATGTATAGAGCTCAATTTTCTGACACAATTTTGTGATCGCCAGGTTAACAGAGGGCTTTTAAAAGAAACAAAGGTACGAAGTATGCAGTAAATATACATAATGTGACATTAATACGGCAGGTTTTTCGATGATAATTATGAAGGAAATTCGTAAGTTAGTTTTCGAATTGTATTCCGACAATTAGAGTGTTCACGATCAAATAATATTCTGACACAGAAGAGCGCAGATGAATTGATAGAACCAGCGGCTGCATAATTAACACTTGTCATACAAGTTGATCGGTAACCATTATCGCAGCGAGAAGACAAAAGATGTGAAGGTGTGGAGAATGTCTCGAGATCAAATGTTTAAGTCATTTAAGGGCTTCGACTTATAAATGGTAAAAATTGTATACAGAAATAACTTTACTCACAAAAGTTCTTTTGAAAAAAGATATTGAAAAAAAAAATCAGATTTCAACGCCTACTCAAATCGACTTTTCAAGTTTGATACAAATAAAGTTTACCGTAGAATATTTAAAGGTATTTTAAATATAGGATTATCTCCCTTTGATTGTAATATGTGTGTTCTATTTTTATTTTCCAGATCCTTTAAACAAATATACACTAAAAAAACCTTTTTTTAAAAACACATTTCAAATCGTTTTGATTGTCAGCTTCAAAACTTCAAATTACATAAGTCTTTAATACACTTGCATTTTCATTTTTTATATCTGACTTAAGAAAAATATATTACGTCAAGACCTGTCAGCATTGCAGTATAATTGATTTGAAAGTACAACTGAATAACTTATATCTTAAGTTACTCTGTTAGTACAATGCTTTTAATTTAATCAAACAGTGTATAGTATTTACCTGTGAGCAGTTCAGATGATAAAGGTACAACACAAAAAAACATGTCTGCAAGTTTTCTAAGTAGTCCTCTTGGGCTACATAACTATTTAAGTTGTACATGTATAATTCATTTAATTTATTTATCGTGCATAAAGCAGACGATGTATAAAAGCAATATCTCAGTTTTGTAAACATATTGCATCAGAATAGTGTGTAACAATGAATCCCTAAAGAACGCACATAACGACAAAAATGAAAATGTTGCAGGATCGGTTTGATTGAGCCTGTTCATGAAAGGTAATGGAAATGGCAAGTTGCCGCCGTCCATGTCCCCTATCACCGGCTTAAGCCTTATGCAACAATTAATATAAAATGGTAAAATTTGGAATTTTGAAAATCCCCAGATGTGTTTTCATACGGCGAATATCGTTGAACCTTCAATGTGACACGTGAAAAGCGGCGTATGGCCCCAAGAAAAAAAATGCATGTGTCCTATACGAGAAAATATTTGGTGGAAATAAACGGAATTATCATTTTGAAAGGGGATCAGACTTTGTTTTCGAAAACACAAAAAACAAGAAGTATCTTTAAAAATATACTCGGCCGAAGTCAAACATGTTAACTTGCATAGGATCAGCTACTACTAACCATGCTTACCACAAACAAACATTTTATTCGTCCTTAATAGTTTTATTTCAGTTCATTTTACCCGCAAGGTTTTTCCCCATTTATTGTCATCATAGATTAACAATATTATTTACATTATTTGATTTTAATGAAAATGGAATTTGATTTGAATAGGAATTTATGATTAAACAAATATTTAGTAGATACTGTACACTAATTCCATGAATAATTTTGCAACTGTAAATAAGTCGAAAGTTCGTTTCAATCGTCTTATGCCCGGTTCGAGAAGAGAATAAATTGACTAGAACGGCTAAGAAGAGAAACCCAATCAAACGCAAAAGTATTAAAAAGGCGATCTGTCATATTTGATTTCATATATTCATTGAAAAGCTGAAAGAAACATCTAGAAAATACAAGATATGTTTGTAAAACATGTATGCCCCCTATCTGCAGCCAATTAGTCATGTGATAAGGTTATTATGCATGACTTCTGACCCAGTGATCAAACAATTAATAAGGGTTATCAAGTATCTACTGGTCATGACCTTAACCTTTGACCCCTTGACCCAAAACTCAATAGGGGTCATCTGCTGGTCACGACCAATCATCATACAAAGTTTGAAGTTCCTAGGCCTAAGCGTTTTTAGTTAATTGATCGGAAACCGTTTTTACCTACAAGGTCAATGTGACCTTGACCTTTGACCCCTTGACCCAAAATCAATAGGTCATCTGCTGGTCATGACCAATCACCATACCAAGTTTGAAGTTCCTAGGCCTAAGGGTTCTTTAGTTATTGATCGGAAACCGTTTTAACATAAAAGGTCAATGTGACCTTGACCTTTGACCCCAAAATCAATAGGGGTCATCTGCTGGTCATGACCAATCACCATGCCAAGTTTGAAGTTCCTAGGCCGAAGCGTTCTTTAGTTATTGATCAGAAACCGTTTTTACTTACAATGTCAATGTGACCTTGACTTTTGACCCCTTGATCCCAAAATCAATAGGGGCAATCTGCTGGTCTTCATACCAAGTTTGAAGTTCCTAGGCCTAAGCGTTCTTAAGTTTTTGATCTGAAACCGTTTTTACTTACAAGGTCAATGTCACCTTGACCTTTGACCCCTTAACCCCAAAATCAATAGGGGTCATCTGCTGGTCATGACCAATCATCATACAAAGTTTGAAGTTCCTAGGCCTAAGCGTTTTTAGTTAATTGATCGGAAACCATTTTTACCTACAAGGTCAATGTGACCTTGACCTTTGACCCCTTGACCCCAAAATCAATAGGTCATCTGCTGGTCATGACCAATCACCATACCAAGTTTGAAGTTCCTAAGCCTAAGGGTTCTTAAGTTATTGATTGTAAAGCATTTTTACCTACAAGGTCAATGTGACCTTGCCCATTGACCACTTAACCCCAATATCAATAGGGGTCATCTGCTGGTCATGACCAATCACCATACCAAGTTTGAAGTCCCTTGGCCTAAGGGTTCTTAAGTTATTGATCGGAAACCGTTTTAACCTTAGAGGTCAATGTGACCTTGACCTTTGACCCCTTGACCCCAAAATCAATAGGGGTCATCTACTGATCATGACAAATCACCATATCAAGTTTGAAGTTCCTAGGCCTAAGGGTTCTTTCGTTATTGATCGGAAACCGTTTTTACCTACAAGGTCAATGTGACCTTGACCTTTGACCCCTTAACCCCAAAATCAATAGGGGTCATCTGCTGGTCATAACCAATCACCATACCAAGTTTGAAGTTCCTATGCCTAAGGGTTCTTTTGTTATTGGTCAGAAACCGTTTTTACCCAAGAGGTCAATGTGACCTTGACCTTTGACCCCTTGAACCCAAAATCAATAGGGGTCATCTACTGGTCATGACCAATCACCATACCAAGTTTGAAGTTCCTAGGCCTTAAGGTTCTTTAGTTATTGATCAGAAACCGTTTTTGCTTACAAGGTCAATGTGACCTTGACCTTTGACCCCTTGACCCCAAAATCAAAAGGGGTCATCTACTGATCATGACCAATCACCATACCAAGATTGAAGTTCCTAGGCCTTAAGGTTCTTTAGTTATTGATCGGAAACCGTTTTTGCTTACAAGGTCAATGTGACCTTGACCTTTGACCCCTTGACCTCAAAATCAATAGGGGTCATCTACTGATCATGACCAATCACCATACCAAGTTTGAAGTTCCTAGGCCTAAGGGTTCTTTAGTTATTGATCGGAAACCGTTTTTGCTTACAAGGTCAATGTGACCTTGACCTTTGACCCCTTGACCCCAAAATCAATAGGGGTCATCTACTGATCATGACCAATCACCATACCAAGTTTGAAATTCCTAAGCCTAAGGGTTCTTAAGTTATTGATTGTAAAGCATTTTTACCTACAAGGTCAATGTGACCTTGCCCATTGACCACTTAACCCCAATATCAATAGGGGTCATCTGCTGGTCATGACCAATCACCATACCAAGTTTGAAGTCCCTTGGCCTAAGGGTTCTTAAGTTATTGATCAGAAACCGTTTTAACCTTAGAGGTCAATGTGACCTTGACCTTTGACCCCTTGACCCCAAAATCAATAGCGGTCATCTACTGATCATTACCAATCACCATATCAAGTTTGAAGTTCCTAGGCCTAAGGGTTCTTTCGTTATTGATCGGAAACCGTTTTTACCTACAAGGTCAATGTGACCTTGACCTTTGACCCCTTAACCCCAAAATCAATAGGGGTCATCTGCTGGTCATAACCAATCACCATACCAAGTTTGAAGTTCCTAGGCCTAAGGGTTCTTTTGTTATTGGTCAGAAACCGTTTTTACCCAAGAGGTCAATGTGACCTTGACCTTTGACCCTTTGACCCCAAAATCAATAGGGGTCATCTACTGGTCATGACCAATCACCATACCAAGTTTGAAGTTCCTAGGCCTTAAGGTTCTTTAGTTATTGATCAGAAACCGTTTTTGCTTACAAGGTCAATGTGACCTTGACCTTTGACCCCTTGACCCCAAAATCAATAGGGGTCATCTACTGATCATGACCAATCACCATACCAAGTTTGAAGTTCCTAGGCCTTAAGGTTCTTTAGTTATTGATCGGAAACCGTTTTTGCTTACAAGGTCAATGTGACCTTGACCTTTGACCCCTTGACCTCAAAATCAATAGGGGTCATCTACTGATCATGACCAATCACCATACCAAGTTTGAAGTTCCTAGGCCTTAAGGTTCTTTAGTTAGTGATCGGAAACCGTTTTTGCTTACAAGGTCAATGTGACCTTGACCTTTGACCCCTTGACCTCAAAATCAATAGGGGTCATCTACTGATCATGACCAATCACCATACCAAGATTGAAGTTCCTAGGCCTTAAGGTTCTTTAGTTATTAATCGGAAACCGTTTTTGCTTACAAGGTCAATGTGACCTTGACCTTTGACCCCTTGACCCCAAAATCAATAGGGTTCATCTACTGGTCATGACCAATCACCATACCAAGTTTGAAGTTCCTAGGCCTAAGGGTTCTTTAGTTATCACTCGGAAACCATTTGGTCTACGGACCGACGGACCGACGGACCGACAAGTGCAAAGCAATATACCCCCTTTTCTTCGAAATGGGGGCATAATTATTATTGTGTTTTTACATTTATTCTAACTTATATATTTTTCCAACACTTCTTGCCATCGCGCAATCGAACAGACCTCTACCTATAACGGAAGCTCTTCTAAAGTATCAATCGAACAGGCTTTTAGTGTTAAAATGACCAATGAAATTTCTGCCTATATTAATTTTATTCCTTTACTGTTAATTTTAGCGGAAGTCAAGGTGAAGTCAGACGGCCTTTGGCCGGAAAATATTAAAAAAACCTGTTAACCCAGTGGATATGTTCTATTCAAAATCCTACAGGCACTGCAAAAAAATGTTATTATTATTCAGTTTGATTTGTTCAAAACCTGTAAAAAGGATAGTGGTGAAAATGCAGACGATGTGATTGTGTTTGTACAAAAAGAACAATGATTAGGAAGCAAAATCTCCCACGCCGCCTCGGACAGTCAGCGGCATTATCTTGATAAATTCTTTCATTGAGTGTTAGGGTTTAAAGTAAATATCATGGTTAGCGACGTTCACAGAAAGCAGTCAGTGATACCATCTAGCGCCAAACATGACCACTGGAAAGATTTTTGTTTACATTGTGCATTGTGTAGGAAACAAAAATATATTCTATTTTCCCTACAGTTGAGTGTGTAATTTTCTTTTCTAACGACTGATCAAAAGATGTAAGCTAAATTTCTTACGGCAATATGTCGCTTATTTTTATTGTGCTACTAAACCTTAATAAACGTTCTGACTAATCAATATACCAACGGAACCTGATAGAAAGAGAAACGGACAATAAAGAACTTACCAGTTAGAGGTCGCTACTAATTTAAACATTGGTTCAACCATTTTAACCGGTTCAAAATTTAGAACAATTATTTGAAAAGTAAAGGGTTTCAGGGCCCCTTCTTGTGAGTGTCCTTATTCCAGTGTTTATCATATTGAATTCATAGGAGCCTTTAATCGTGTTTTCTTATCATGTTGTTTGCCTTGCCTCTATATTTGTTTTTATAATATTTACTGTCAAATCTCTTTAACAATTTCAGAATAGTTATGTTGAAGTACAAATGTCGCAAAATTGTTGAAAACTGGTTGAATACAATCTGTTTCACGGACGTTAACGATTAATAAGTGAGACTAAAACATAGTCAGGTTGAACATTGCTGACTTTTTGCGATAACTACATGTTTTGATAATCAAACAAAACCTGTTTAATCTGGGTATGATTAAGTTGTTAAAACACGTTTTGTTATGATGGTTATATCTATGTTTTATCTTCTTTCTAAAATTTATAAGTGCTTTTTAACCATCGTATCTTTTAGGTTAAGTGTTTTCTTCCACTTGTATATTTTAATCATAGCACTATCTCTTTACATCAAGTTTAAATCGTCATATTTAGAAAGAAAAGAAGAAACGGACGTCATTAGTTACTGTGCGGTCAAATTTTTTTCCTAGTTCAGAAAACTATGTGCTTGTAAAATAATGTAAAACAAAAAAGTGCTAGGATATCAAAGTTAAGAAAACAGTTCTATTGTGACTCTATAAATACGAAATACAGATACGTATAAATATAAGTAACCTTTCTTTAGTAATACGATTTGCAATGTGTGTTTACCCCGGACAATGAATCTACAGTTAATTATACTATCAGCTTTAGTGTTGTGGACATCAAAACATACAGAAGGAACAAAAGGTAAGGCATATTAGAATACATTGATACTGAATTTGCACTAAAGCTGACGCCAGCTGATATATGCAGATTGAGTGAAAACGTTTGCTCACATTTTATCACAGTGGAAAAGGCTTTTTCTTCAATATGTTTGTAAGTTGAAGTTTTGTTAAGACATTTCGTCCCTTTAAATGTTATCTATCCATTAACGTTTTCTGATTCAAGCAATTAATTAAAACTTCATTACTATCACATTATGTTTGTATTAATTATATTATAATTATTATTATTATTATTTTATATAATCAAATAAAACATAATTAATAACTCTTTAAACGTGCCGGGAAATAGTGTACGTCAATATCAAATTTTTAACACAAATTTTTGTCATATTTCGCCGGTCAATCCACCATACCGGTTTTTCTGGATAACTTCAAGTGACCGACTAATAATCTACATGATTTCTGAATCAACGGTGATGGAAAACTGACCATTAGACTCGATGTCCGAAATCAATTGTCACGACGAAATTACGCTTCGCACAAGTAACGGACTAATGACACCGTAATATCCATCCAATGCACTTATTATTGATCGGATACCTCAATTTTGCAGAACATAATGGTGTACGAGTATACGTTAATAATACATAAGTTTGCAAATATAGAAATCCTCAGCTCTAATATCATTTACACAAAGTCCTTATATAATTCAGTAGTTGCCGGAGATGCCCTTTCATGTCAAGTATTTATAGCTGATCGAGAAACGCGAGATCACATAACTTCAGCACGCGTGAGAGCAGAATCATGTCCTTGTATAGAGCAAATTATTGCAATTGACGACACATTCGAAAAGAAGAATAACTGCTACAAACAATGGTTCTTTTCTGATGATGCTAAACAAGTTTGTTGCTACAGGTAATGTTCTTTAATACATTGTTTAAAAATATTTTTTTGCGTACATTAATGCTATGATTTGCTCGTAGGGAAACAATATCTGTATCAATTGAGTATCTGTTGATTCAGACCTATGTTATGCCTTGTTGGTACATATCATCACATTCAATTCATGTTGAAAAAAGAATAAAAATAAAGTTACATTCCGGACCTAGGTTAAGGATAAGTTTTTACATTTCAACAGAGTCTTTCAAATATAATGGTTTGGAAACGTGCTATGTAAACTCTTCTCTTACAATTAAACATGTCTCGGTATAACTAAGTATAGTTCGCTATACGCAAATTATGTAAGTGTTCGAGGAAAGGGCGAACTTTAAATACAAGAGCATATATGAAAATTCTAACGACATGATGTTCTTAAAAAATCTTCAAACTTGTGAATAAAGGATAAAAGTTTTAGAAAATAATGTTCAGAATATTTGCCGATAAACTGCGCCATTTTGTAAATTCTCCAAATTAAATATCAAATATTTGTTAATATAATCGTGAAATATTATAAACATTTTACATGATAATATAACATTTTTTCTCTGTAAAATCAATTTCTATTTAAGCATTGAATAATGCATAAATTAAAAAAAGCGAATGAAACTTCATTCTATTTTCAAATATGAGCAGTAGATTTACAGTACCTTGACACCGGGAACGAAAAACTCCTAATTTCATTGCAAATCTATAAAATTGTTACTTTTAAAGTACTAGTAAACACTGATAATGTAATGTAGCCAGGATAGGTTTTCAGTATTTTGATCGTTGTAACAAAACATTATCTTATAAGTTGATTTTTAAATGGTGATGTACTTTGCCAGGTCATGATCGCATCCTAATTATGTGACTCAACATACTTTTTCGTAAAATTGTTCCAACTCCAGACCGTTCTTTTTGAAAGACCCTATTCTCAGGTATATTGACTGGTAACAAACTATAAATATAAAATTTATATTCCAAGAGGAGAGACATTGCGATTCAAAAAGGTTAACAACCTAAAGGTCTGATCTTGAAAACGATAGCAACTCATGTTTGCAGAAAGAACCTAAAATGTATATTTCGTTATACATGATTTGTGTAGTAAAAAATTATTTCTTCATCAAATATGTTTGCAGCGAAAATGGCCAACTACTAATTGATGGTATAGGGGCAGGATATCTCCTCCTGAAGACAAAAGATGATTACATTGAACAAGCCCATGAACTTTGTTGTGGGAACGGAACAGATGCATTAAGAGAATCTTGTGAATCGTTCTACCAAATTAATTCGCCTGATGATTGTAGCTCTTACGAACCGCCAGTTGTTTGTAAGTATTTTCGTTTTTTTATAGATAAAGAAAACTAGAATAATACGTATTTCTAAAACATAAAAAAGAATTTGTAGGAAAATAACAGTTTATTACAAAGTCTCTCTGTTAATTCGTCGGCAATCGGTATATATGTACTTTTCATAAAACTCTTTTTATCAAAAAGTCAAATGTTATATGAAATATTAATTTTAACTATGAAAAAGGGACATGATGTGCAAGATGATAAGGTGTGCCCATCGTTTTTATATCGTGCCTATTTTTCTTGAAACGAAATGAAGAAGTGTTATTGATTAATTGTCTTGTTTTGTCCTTTGATACATTCTTGATTAGAGAATAATGGGTCAATATCAGAATAGTAATAATAAATTTACATCTTTTCAGAATTTCACCCAAAATTTATCAACCGTGTCAGTGAAAAACTATATTATAACTGTGCTATTTGAGAATGTGATGTATTTACTTATCATTTGATTTTCAGCAATTTCATCAGGAGATCCCGTCATACAAACAATAGATGGAGGAAAATATGATTTTAATGGCCATGGTGAATATGTATTTTTGACGGATGGAAAGTAAGTACTAGTAGTTTAAGCTATTTAAAGATAATTTATAAAAGTTAAAACAAAAATTATTTAAATACACGTTTTAAACATGGTAAGTTATATTAAAATTTGGACAAACACTGATATTTGGCAAGCGTGTATACATACAAAATATCTATGATTGATCTAACATTCAAATCTTATCTTTTATTTGTTTATTATATTTGTCAATTTAACTACATTTGTTGTTAAATTTTATTGTTACTAAAAAGTGTTCAACTAAGCAAAATTTGAATAAACAAAAATTATTGTAGAGATCTAAATACTTCCAGTCTTATATTTACTACCATTTACCTAAATGTACTTTGTTTTTCCTCTGTTAATTGGATTTTATGAAATAACATTTTATATGCCAGACTGCGTTCTGATAAAATTCTAATTTTAGCTGAAAACAAACTAAAATATTTTCATTCAAAATAGAAGATAGATGCAAAGATAATTCATTCGATCGGCATTCAAATAAGTATAAACATATATTGTAATATAATCAGTATCATATTGATTCGTAGCCAGTCTTTTTTTGACATCTTCGGGTAATTTTAATTAACATTGGTGCGTGAAAAATATCAAAATCAGATTAAAACATAATGATTTTAAATATACTTTAAGCTTAAAATATAATCATCTGCCTTTATTCCTACAGTTTGATAAAATATGAAACACAAGATCAACAAAGAAAATTGTGATGTTTATGAAAGTGAATTTGAAAATAAGAGTATGGAATTATAAGCGCCAAATTTATTTTCTAGCATTGTTTTTCAATTCACATTTTAGTAATTTTGAAATACAAGCTAGAACAGATTATGTTGTGCCAGGAAACGTTGATTCAACATATTTTTCTGCTTTTGCCATACTAGTAAGTATAACCCTTTCTTACACATACTTTTTTTTTCAATTTATCACTTAAATCACGATTCAGGAGTGTAAAAGACCAATGCAATAACAATGCTATTGTAATGATGACATCATTGGCGGTATATGCAAAAATATTGTTAAAGTTCGCTAATATTAGCGTTACATTAAAAGTGTGTCAACGGGAAATGACTCTTTTTAACAGTAAACCGTTCTTATTTTAGATAAATGATAAGTAGAAAATTATATTCGAGTAGATTGAATACTACATTTAATGAACTCGAGCCAAAGGCTCGCATTATATGATTCCCTTCAATTCATTCTATAAATTCAGTGTTAAATCTATACTCATTCAATATCATTTATTTACGATATTATTTCAAGTATTATTATTATTATTATTTATTATTATTATTATTATTTCAAAATAAGGTCCAGATAAGTCAAATCAAATTGCAGATTTTTGCAATTCCCCTCTTATGAGTTGTCTTTTGTTTAATGTAAATGTGTCTACGTTGCAAACAAGTTTTGTCAAAATATAATTTTTCGAACTTTATTTGTGTTTTCTTTTTCAATTGACATTAAACACCTTTTTGTCACTCGGTTATGCATATCTATAAAAGAACACTTACATAGGCATGTCTGTTTAATTTGCGATACTAAATTTTGACAGAAATATTCATAAATAGTGTACATGTATGTTCCAGGATAAAACGTCACATGAGCAAATAGAGCTTCGTTATGATCGGGAAGCAGATGATATCAGATTGTTTAGGAATGGTAAATATAACAGCAAATGTAGCGCATCACCAATGTTAGGACATGGAAGACCTTACCCTTGTGAAGGCCAAGGCCAACACACACATACTTGTTTTGTGCTAGCTGGTGGTGGTAAAATAATTATGCTTAACTGTGGTTTCAAATCTTATATCAAACAGGTATTCGTATGAAATTACTGTTTCAATTTTTTTTTCAAAACAAATATTGTTTTGTTTTTTTTGTAAAAACTTGCATTAAAATAAAAGTCGAAGGTATTGATAGATTACAAGATATGCATATTGACAGCTTAATGTGAGTACAACTAAGAAACACAATATGTATGTTATATAAATAATATAATAATTTTGTTGAATTTCTTAAATTAAACTGATATGCCATGCTATGTGTGATTGAGTTAAAAATTAGTTGTTGGGTTGTTAAAGTGACCGCCTGCCAGTATAGAGATCGGTTGACCCTTCTTAGAGCATGCTTCCTCAAGTGACACATATGCTAGCTAGTTTCAATAAATGAATAGTTGTGTTTTTCTTCCACAATTGGTTAACTTAATACATTTTCAATATTACTTATCAAACTTACACGTTCTTGTATTGAATTGAAATTCAAAACAAGCCTTTTTTTTAAACGTGCGTTCCATTTTTTCTGTATTTCAACAATAGCTTGTGTTTGGGACTGACAATTTCCTGAGTGTACAGATCATCAGAGACACTAGGGCAAATATAACAAACATTACAGGCCTAGCAGGACATCGGGAAGATGGTTTCTACATTATGAGAAACAAGACAAAAGTTTCTGAAAATGCTTCTGCATTATCATTGTTTCAATTTGGCGAATCATGTATGTTGTTTTCGATTATTCTGATTTATAAAGATTCTGGCGAGCGTTTCACTAACATTCCGTAAGTTTTGCGTATCTTGTAAATTTGGACTTACGGAAAACGTAAATATACGTTAGTTGCAGTTCACTAAAAAGAACGTGCAATTATATATAGTATATCATATATTTATCTAAAAATGTTATAAACACTTTACACCAGAGCAGTTATATTAATATCTATATTTTAAGTAAATAATAATCAACTGAATGTTTGTTGTTAAATGAGCATGTTTATATTTCACTATAAAGACACCAATTGTATTCTCGGACACCAATTGTATTCTTTATGTGATTAGTATGTGTCCATAGTTATACTACGTGTCAGAATGATGATCAATTATCATGAAAATCACCAGGCATTGTGATGTGAGAAGATAATCAATTGTCGACATTCGTATTTTATAACATACAACAGTATCGTAGTCATACAATGAACATTGATCTAACGTTTTCTGTTATGGGTATTGTGAATACGAGGTTTTCAATAATTCTACATTTGAATGTGATTTGGCGTACAGAAAGGAATTAACAAAAGTTCAGTTTGATGAAACCACATACTTTTCATGTTTCATTTTGTTTATTTATTGCTAGGGTCATTACAGAATGAGTCGGAGAGTGTTTTCATGTATAATGAGACTGGCGAAAATTTTACAATTTACAACACACATCATACACGACCAGAGTTCCTTGAAGACAAACTTGGCAACCTGACCGCATTGTTCAAAACCTTTACTACAGAAAATATTACACTTTTCAACAAAACTTGTAGAAATTATTGGAACAAGGAACCAAATAATCAGTGCCTTCTTACTATTGCACGAACAGGGGATTATAACCAAGGATTAGATGTAATGCGACAGGAAAATGCAAAACGTCATATATGGGAAATAAATCGTAATATATTTGTTATCACTTTTCTTAACATCGAAAGCCTTACTTGACATACTGATGTATAATTATATATTTAGATTGAAATTACTTTAACTTAAGACATACTATAGTATATAATTGTATTTCCTCTGCATTTTGGTAGCATTGCATCAACACTTTATACCAATTGTCAGCATTCGAGTACATTTGAAAATTAAATTGAGTTAATAAACTAATTAATCTAAAAAAGAACAAAAATAATCAGTTTTAAAAATAACGTTACTTTGTATCTGATCAGAAAATGTTGAATTGTCAGTTATTTTACAGGTAATTTACAATCTTAAAAGAGTATAAAGCTGTCTCATGCAAAGATTATTACGCTGACTTTTTAAAAAAGAGAATACTTCCTACAATGCTTATATTAAAAATATAGTAGTATATTGGCCTAAGAGTGAATAACGTGTGTAATAAATCCTTGCGAAATTAGAAATTATTGGAACATGCAACACAATAAACAGTGCCTTCTTACTATTGCAATGACAGGGGGTTATAGACTGATTAGATGTAATGGTAAAGACAAATGGAACATATTATAAATGGGAAATTCTCCGTAATATTTTTTTTTTTATTTTCAAATAATACAAATCCTTTTAACATAGTCTTAATTTACCATACGTAATGATAACTTTTAATTGAAAATATATTTTTTTTTTAAATGAATTTCTTTTTCTTATTTCTGAAGAATGAGACGCCAGAAATGTGTCATAGAATTTTCATGCGCACCAAAACCTATAAATATTTTACCAAATAAAATATAAAAATGAGTGTTTTAAAGTTTATAATAAGGAAATATATGTTGTACAGTCGGGTAACGTTATTTGTAATGAATGTTATTGAAACGTTTTTGTATAAATTATATAATGTTCTTTGTTTCGTCTTTCATGACTCCGTTTCGGCTGAACTACAACGCGCCTTTATCGAGTAATTTATTATTCTTTATTCTTATCAGACAGGCGAAATAGTGCTCAACATTACAAATGAATAACGTATCTGTTTTGACTTTGTAGTCATGTATAACAACAAATACATGACTCAAAAGAGGATATTAAATGAGTGTAGATTGAACACTAAATATATTGAACGAGTAAATAAAATCATATAATGCGTACCTCACGTGAGTATAATATTGTATGCAACAATTCAATAAATCAAGTATTGAATCTACACGAATATAATATTGTATTTATCACATCCCTAAACTGACAACGGTTTATAGCTTAGCGTCATTTTTCATAGAGGTGTATAAATGTAACGCTAACATATGCGTGCTTTTACGCTATGATTGTATATAACGCAAAGTTTTATTACACTATAGTTATATCGTTTTTATTGAATAAGTTTGTTACATTCTTGTGATAAAATTTTATATCGGAGTTGCTTCGACTTTTTTCTGCGGGTTGATTGAAGTACAACACAATAAACTCAAGTGTAACTATCGAGCTTTATATAACACTGAAATATTTTGTATTAAAATGTCGAGTCAGTCAATTCAGAAACCTGGACATTTAGTATCTTTAAGTTTCGTTTACATTAAATACATTTCCCCCAGATATGATGATGAAACACATGAAATAATGCATTATTTACCTATGCATAATTCTTTATTATCTAGCTTTTTTGAAAGACGTCCATTGATTTATTTATATAATTAACCTGCTTTCTTTTTTGTTTCTTTCAGATAATAAAGCCCCAATTGTATCATCAAACTTTCCAGACATAATCACTGTCAATATTCACTCAACATGGACCATTAATCTTACTGATTATGTTACCGATGATAATACACCCCCTGAAAATCTCGTGTTCGAAGTTACCACAAATTTATCACGGAAAGAATATACAATAAGTAATTAATATTTATATTCAGAATAAACTTTATTCATTAAAATAAAAATAGATTTAAATCAGAGTGATTTTTGGTTGCTTTTTACAAAACTAATAACAACAGTAAAAACACCCCAAACAATTAACCAAAACAATAAGTGTGTTTTACTTCACAATTTTGATATGTAACGGGAATAATATTAAAACATGTCAAATATACATAAAGGCTAAGTGCACCACAACCTTAGTAGCTTTAAATAAAACATCTGACAACTACTTCAGAGCCTTAAATTTTTGGCGATCTGTTTTCAGTGGTTTAGAGGGTTGTTACATGCGCTTGCCAGCAGGAGGTCGCTTGTTCGAATCCGAGCCACGGTGTTTTTAGAGACGAGAAAATATTGATTTACCTGCTTTTTATACTATATCACTATTGTATACTTGGTTTTTCAGACAATGGAATTTTTACATGGAACGTTGGCACTGGTTTACGAGAATTATACACAGGCATAAAATTCACCGTATACGACACATTAAATGCTAGCTGTGTTTTCAGTTTTTCAATCAACTACTGTGGATGTAGTGAAGTTTCGTTTTGTTCATTTAATGGTGCTACTGACTATCCTTCAGGTAATCATGCTCATTTGTTTGCTTCTTTACTTTGTTTATACTTTTCATTTCCCAAAAAACTAAAATAAATGAATAAAAAATGAATAAAAATAAAAAAAAGAGAGAATTGGAAATAGTACCATTTACTTGAAGTTCGAAGTAAAACGTTATTGCTACATGAATTAAACTATTAAATTCCTAACAATTTCATCCAGATATTGCATACACTAGCTACACGAATAAAACTATTAGTTGACGTTTTATTCAGATACTGTGGTTAAAGCATCATGTTTTTGTCCAGCCTACACTAGCGGATTGTATTGCGAAGATATCATAGATCTTTGTCCTAACTTTAACTGCTACAATGATATTTGTAATGTGATTGTTTACAAATCAAATCCTTCGTGGCCATGCGGTCCTTGTCCGAAGGGAAGGGAACATTGGATGCCTGGATATAATCAGATATGCACAGGTATTTTCATAATATATATTCAAAAATATTGGAAACAGCATGCGCATTGTTAAGAGACTGCTTTATTTATGCCCATATGATATTGATTATGAAGTTGTTACAAATACCAATATGTAAATGAAATAAAAGGTAAAGGTAAAGGTCTTGTTTATTATAGTGTCACCCCTACTGAAAGGGCCAGCCATTTTGACTTATGAGACACCTTTTGGTTGCATACCATGTACCTCCCAATTCCTACCACTATGCCAGGCGCCAGGCGGATAGAAATCGGTAACCATTCTTTTTAACTACCTCGCGGCTCACGAAGCGGCCATTTCGGAACGAGTCCCACGAGAAACATTCATCCTTCAATTAACGCTCCCCGTGGGGCTCGAACCTTCGACCTCCCGATCCGAAGGCGGACGCCTTAACCACTAGGCCAACGGTACCGGTGTACATATGAAATATGTAGACATACTTGTGTCAGGATAACATTTCAAATGCTCACAAATATATTACTTACTAACATGAACAAGATTGGAAATGAAAGATCTATTGTTTTAAATGCTTCAGGTTATTACTTATTTCGTTTCATTAAAAGATATATATTTGTGAGTGCCTTGCCGTACCATAAAACATTCATCTCGTATGTTTCTGAATAATGTTTTAAATTTAAATGATCTTTTAAACGTTAGCTTTATTCAATAATGCAGAAAGAAAATAAACACAAAGTTATCTAAGAATTATCAAATCTAATTCTATTAACACATTCTAATACATGTATATTTCCCACAAATTACGAAACTAATTCTTATAGATATTGACGAATGCAGTGTTGATTATTCTGGAGCTGACAAGTGTGAGCAGAATTGTACAAATTCCGATGGATCGTTTATGTGTAGCTGTTTCAATGGATATGAATTAAATACAAATGGCCATTCATGTGATGGTAATAAAAGCAAAAGATTTATTGATAAACAAATATGTTATCAATATATTTTGTAACTTTAACTTTACATTATATCGAACATTGTCAGATTTTTATACAGATTCTGATTAAATCAATCCCTTCCTTAAATGAAATAGTCTGCCAGATAGCTTCATATAAGGTGAGGGAAACAGCTTAAAATTGAGTAATTGTTGTGTCTATTAAATAATGCGATAATTTTATGTCCCTTTGGTTGTTGTAAATTTTTGCCAATTACTTCTTCAAAATTAGTATATAAATGTAAATTTAGATAATCGCTATGACTTTTGTTATTATAAAATAAATATTCAAGGGTATTTATGAGATGTCAATACAGTAATTTCAATATATTTTAGATATTGATGAATGCAGTAGGGGCATTCAAGTGTGTGGGAGAACAGAAATCTGTGTGAATACTTTGGGAAATTCGTCATGCTTATGCGCTCCTGGGTTCCAAAGACTTAGTGATAAAACTGGCACCTGTGTAAAGATTGGTACATTTTTTATTATTTCTAAGCTATCAATATGGCCATCAAAAACATACATTGTTGTTTGAGATCAGTCATAATAAAATAAACAGACCCCCACAAAAAATTGAAAGAAAAGACATGAAACAGTCAGAATGATTTATAGTTTTTATATAATATTGCGTCCACTTTTGTTTGTTTTATAGTAGTACGTAACCAACCATGCATTTTATAACTACTGCTGAATGCATATTATCTTTAAATGTCAATATGAATCTGAAAAAAAAACTGTAATGAAAAGTCAAGAAGGACATATTTTTAAATCATTGCTTCTGTATGTTTTGTTTTTAAATATACATGTATGTTTTCCTTGATGAGGTGTAAATAAAAATAATACTACTTTTAATGAAATTGAAGAATATATATATAACGATTTTTTTCTACTAAAGAAAAGTAGGGACATTGTTTCTGCATTCGCATTCATTTTAACGAACTCACGATTTAAATTGTACGAATTCTTATTTCATTACGTATAGCTTGTATTTTGAATTCCCTCAGGAAGTGTAAACCTTAAATCATTTAAAAAGTTGAAATTATTAAAACATAAATGTGTGGGTTTGAAATAATAGATTCTGTATTACAATCATGAATGATTTAAGTTGAAATCATAAAATCGTGACCTTGAAATTAGTGAAATGTGCAGTCGGTATGTGTAGTTACTTCATTCAAAATGTCGTTACAGGATCTGTTGAAGACGCTGTTCATGTTACATGTTCCGATTCACAATGGGATATTGAAGTCGATATGAACATACTACAAGCGCAGTATCCAGCCATAAAACCCGTTGACATATTCTTGGGTGAATCTAAATGTCTTGGAAAGCTGGAAGGGTCTCTACTGAAGTTCCAGTATGACCTAAACAGCTGTAAAACTGCAGATATGGTACAAAATTTATTTCATGGTGTACTTTATCTTGAATAACATGTATACGATGTATTTGTTTATATTTCAACTGAAAACACTTACATTTACTTAATACAATGTACATTTATTATTTTACATTATTCAAACATGCAATGCTGGCGGAAGAGAATAAGAACATTTAGACAATAATCGTATTCTTGTTGCCTCTTTTGATAGAGATTAAGAAAAAGTATAATATGTTATTTGACAAACATTGATTAGAATCATAACACATTATAAAGTGTAAAACAGCTGCAATATTAAACATGTTCTGCCATTATTGTGTGCATTTGTAGCGCATCTTATCTGAAATTAACAAACATAATTATCTTCATATATTTCGGAACATAATTAGATATAAATTTTATAAGAATACATAAACATATTTAAGTTATTACAAATAAGCTAATTTGGTTTTATACCAGGCCAAATGTGAACGATATCTCGATCAAAATCATCATTGTTATATTGAACTAGAGTTTTGATTTTATATTTAATTGTTACTTAATTGTTCTTTCCCTACATATAATAAATAGTGGTTACACAAACATTATCAGCTATTTTTTCCAACTAGTCTTTTCAAAGTTTTTCGCTAGTTTTGAACATTACTATGTTTTACGAGGGAAATACGTATATAGATATGCTACATTTCCTGTATAAGTAGACTCGATGTGTAATCAGTATTTTACTTTACTTTCAGACTTCAAGTATAACGCATATTTACAGCAACAAATTACTTTACGTGATGTTTGATCCTGTGATACCATTCCTCATTAGACGTCACATTTGGACGTTCATTGTGGAGTGTGACGTAATCAGAGGTGGAACAGGGACGTCACATTTGCATCACGGCATTGAGACACACCATTCAACTTATGTGAAGCATTACAATGTCACCGTGCAGCTTTATAGTGACAGGGGTTTTCATAACCCCATTATTCAAGAGGCAAGTGACATACATGTTGGTGATGACGTGTATGTGAAGGTTTCTACAAATATCCCCGATTGGAATACAAAGATGCGACTTCACACATGCTTCACAAAACCAAACGCCAATGCAACAAACGATAAAGATATCATACTAATAAGCAATGGGTAACTGCTATATTTGTATTTTAATGCTTCTACATAACTTGTAATGATTTTCTACTCATTTGTCTACTTTTTTTGAAAGTTTCAACGAGAATATATACAAGCTATTCTTTTTCAAGAATGATATGTGACTTTACATAATATGTACACCTGTCATCATTTTCTATTCATTTGTCTATTTTTTCCAAGTTTTCACGAGAGTAACAGAAGATTAAAGGCGTTCTAAGCAGATTATTGTATGCATATTTTCAATGTTTTTATTTTATCGTTACAGTTGTGAGGTCGACAGTAGTACACACATTATTTCTCAGTCAACGCATGAAACAAGTTTTGTCTTCACGGACTTTGAGTATCTAACAAATGACGAAGGCTTAGACATTTTCTGTAACGCAACATTCTGTGACGCAAGGGATTACTCGCCTGAATGTTCACAAGCATGCTTTCGTGGTCCTGTAATTATCGGATAAACAGCTTAATGCATATTCTGTTGTTGAATTTGTTGTAGCACTATAATTTCGTTTAAAGTGACTCCACTGAGGGGTTTTGGCTTAACAGTACTTGAAAGATAAATGTCTAAAATTACATCTCATTCGGTCATTCCATTTTTCCAGAATAATAAGTTTAGTTGTAAAATATATCCAATACGAGTCGCAACGCTTTTCACTCAAATCGGTCTAAGAATGGCAAAATAGTAACATAATTTTCAATTAAATTTTGTTGTATACAACTTTATTACATTTTGCATTATCTTTCTGTTGTAAGTAGCCCTGGTGATCTGTGTTAGCAATTCAGATTTTATGTTTTTTAGGTCTTTGAGTTCCTTTATACATTTGATCATAATTCATATTAATTATATATTCAATCATAATCCATATTAGTTTTGTTAAGGCTTTGGTGGTTCTTTTATTATCTAATAACTATTTTATTATCTAATAACTATTTTAAATAAAATCCAAATAAGGTTTGTTTAAATTGTTTATGAGTTTGTGGTCCAACATTTATCTGTTTTATATATTAATTATAACCCATATATGCTTTGTTCATGCTTTCATGAACCAGCATGGTCTATTAAAAATACTTATAATGATCCATATAAGCTTTGTTTATGCTTCCGTTTTCCAAATATTATCTAATAAATATACTAATTATAATCCATATAAGCATTTTTATAATTTCGTGGTCCAACACATCTGATAATTAAATAAATTAAAATCCATATAAACTGTTTTAATGTTTTAATGGTCAAACAATTATCTAATTAATTTATTCATTATAAACCATAAAGGCTTTGTTTATGCTTTCATAGTCCAATAAAATAGAGAAAGTAAGAATCCCCAAAGAAAGCCCAACACGGCAAACTTGAAAATGTTGCAGGCTCGGTTTGATTGAGCCTGTTCATGGACGGTACTGTCAAGTGCAAACTACCGTCCACGCCCCCTAGCACCGGATCTTATCTGATAAATATTTTATTATAACCGTATTAGCTGTATTTATGCTTTCACGGTCCAGGATTTGTCTATTAAATATACAAATTATGATCCATATTAGCTTTGTTTATGCTTTCGTGGACCAAATATTATCTTATAAATATACTAATTATAAATTATGATTTCGTTCAGTTATCTGGTGATTATATAAATTAGAATCTATATAAACATTGCTTATGCTTTCGTGGTCCAACAATTATTTGATTACTATATTAATTATAATCCAGATAAGCTTTTTTATGCTTCCGTGGTCCAACAATTATCAAATATATATTTTAATCATTATCAATATTTGCTTTGTTATATCTTTCTTTGTCCATCAATTATCTGATAATTATAAAAATTATAATCCATATTAGCTTTGTTTATGCTTTCGTGATCCAAAGAATTATCAAATAAATATTTTGATCATAATCCATATTAGCTTCATCGCGGCTTTTCGTGATCAAGCAGTTATGTTATAAATATTTTATTTATAATTGATATTAGTTTTGTTGAGGCATCCATCATTGCGGCGAGAAAAAAAAGCGTAGAATATCTTAAGATCAAAGGTTTAAGATAATCGGAGAGCTTTGACTTAGAAATGGTAAATTGTAGTCATCGAAATAACTCAAGGTTATATAGACTTATAAAATTAAATATCGGAAAAAAAATCGTTCTTGCTTTTTACTTCGACACATCGACAAAAATCAAAACGACGTATCAATGTTAGATACAAATAAAGTCTACAGTAGTTTCATCAGAATATTTAAAGGTATATTTTATAAAGGATTATCTCCCTTCGTTTGTTATATGTTTTGTTTTAATTTAATTTGTTTTCCGGAACTTTAAAACAAATATTAATTAAAAAAAAAAATAAAAAAAAATAAACAATCATATCTCAGATCGTCATGATTGTCAGAATAAACAATGGTTACATAAGAAAAACAAAAAGAATAATACGTTAAGTTTAAAGGTAATCTAAGGCATGATATTTATTTTTTGTAGTATGTTTCAATATGTTTTCATTTATCAAAAAAGAATCGTTTTTACGTTGATTGTGAAAAATAGGAAGAAATTGATGGCAATAATTTGATGATGATAATTTATAAGTCAGTTGCACAGAGAAACAATTTAACAGTATGTATTCAAAATCTGAATATATTTATTATAACCGTCCATCTATTTCATTGGTCATAAGTTATGTAAGGAGGGAATGTAATTGATTTACAAATGCTAGTGTGATTATGTGTACAACTTCTTATTTGATTTTTTTTTTCAGTCATAAAATTACTTTCTGAATTCGTTTACTTCTGCGGTCACGTTCAATTTTCGTTACATTTAAATTAATCAGAGAATATCAAATATGTTTTCCGAATGATATAACAATGATTGTTGTTTTGGACTAGCACGTTTTATGTCACCTTATTGTATGTGTATAATTTAAATATTCTGAAGAAAAACAAAGAAAACACAACAACAACAACAAACAAACAAAAAAGCTAAGTGATTAAACCTAAGAAAAGCGTTTTGATTTATTGAACTTATTATATTTGTGTATAAATTCAAACACTTGTCTAAAGTTAACTAGCGTAATTTGAGTTACTTCCCTTTCTATAGTTTAAGCACCTAAAGGAACTAACAATATAACATACGCTGCTGTCTTATCACGAATTTATCCTTATTGACAACCCAAATATCTTTGTATATTGTATTAAAGATAGTACACAGTAGCTCCTTTATATCGTTATCTTAATATTTACATAACAATCAATCTATAAAGAAAAGATGGTCCTTAAATTTGAAAAGGTATTAACGGATTTCAGAGGTTTAGAGGTTATCCTAACTTGCCGTACCTCCTGCTGAGTTATTATCTCTTCAATGACACATTTTTGTGGACTCGCCTTTTCTATATCTGTTATCGATACACATTAAAATACCAAACTCATTCTTCGCGTTCCAAATTAAACACAGATTGTTTGGACAAAATGATTATAAAAGATAAACAGCCAAACAAGGAGATATAAGTGGATTATGATGTATAAGATATTTACGTTAAATTAAAGTTGAGGTGATGCTATAATAAAAAGTGTGAAGACATAATTGTTTGCTTTTATAAAAGCAAAACTAGAGTAACACAAACAACAATAAATACGTTAGATAATAATTGTGCTGTATATCTGATATAATAAATATCTAAATAAATAAAAAACTAATAATTAGATAAATAAATATTATAACGTTAACAATTGTATATCTGTAATAATAATAAAATAATTATAATAATAATAACAATAATGATAATAACAATAATGATAATGATAATAATTGAAGGCCGGCATGGAAAACAACATCACGGCGTTGATAAAACATATTGTAGTATTTATTAGTCATGAAGTTGAATGTTTTCACCGCTGTTCACTATTTTT